GTTTGGACCGACGTCGTCGCCACTCTCCGCCAGTACAACCTCCGCCTCCAAACGCGCGGCGACGACCACTTCGACATCAAGTTCCCCCACATGGCCAAGTCCGCCACGACCAAGAACATCGCCCGCGAAATGAAGATGCACATCAAGCTTGGCCACGCGTTGGCGTGGAGCAAGCAAACAGACCAAGGCCGCACCACCATGCTCCATGGCCGCGAAGTCCGCCGTTGACCACGGCTCCGGTGACGACTCCTCCGCCCAACGAAGTTGAATAACAGTGGCAAGTGGCCTTGCCCCCAGCGACTGTAGCATCAGCAGCTCCTGCCACCACCACAACCCCCTCGCAACGTGGGGATGTGCTGCCCGAATCGGTGGAGACCCCGGTGCATATCTCTTTGGCCGCCGCGGCCCTCTTGGACTCCATCATTCCTGCCATCGAGCAACCCCTTGCTTCACCGGCGCACGACCCAACCATTAATACCATTTATGATATGCAGCAAACTTGAAACTACTCGCGCGACTTGATAGTTCTTGTATTGATGTGTACTCCACAATCAAAACAAGGTCCACCTTTCTCTATACACGCAGGTGCTGCCCCTCAGTAAGGTATATTCATCGGGGCTGTCGGTCACGCAAGGCAGTTCCCACGAATTTCGCATTCGGTATAGCAAAGCAATAAAGTATGAGTACTTTCAAGAAGCAATAGATTCAATAAACGATGTTGTGACCCTGTTGGTGGTTATGAGTTTCAGCGATATGAACCACATTACAATCGACAAATTCAGTGTTGTTATCATCTCTGATTAACCTAATGTGTCGGTGACAACACAATGCACACTCCTTCATGATGAATAGGTCGATGAACAGTCAAGTTGAGGATGTATTGATACCCTCCTATATTCCGAGTGGGAACGCTTGTATTCAAGAGAGTGTATCGAGTCCAATTGAACGCAATTCACACTACTTGATCCCACTACAATGTGCCTCAATTCAATTCCTCGTATGACCAACCATTCATAGAAGTTGAGTTGACACTCGAAGCCATTATCAGAGGAATCTACAGCGACAGTGAACTGTCTGAAGAATATTAATGTCACCTTCACCCCGCGATATTGCTCGACAGGTTCGTCGGATTGGCGCCATTGATCTACCAAAATAGCAATTTGAACCCCACAGTTTACATATCTGTGGTTGGGATATATTCGAACGCTTACCACGACACCTCTTTTATCAACTGTATGTGACTATTGCGCAACACTATCAGTTCCTTATCCCTTCAATGTAATTGTGACTAGAACGCTCTACCATGGCGTCCCCTCGCTATGAATATACCTACAACCCAACATTATATGATCATGCCCTTCCCTGACTTGAGATGTGACTACAATCCAACAATATTCCGAAGTAATATGGTATTCCCTCATAGTGAATATGACTTCAACGGTCTATCATCAGCAAAATGTGCCCCCCCTCACTGTGGATATGTTTACAACGCTACGTACACTATCTTGAACCATGTGCTATCCTCGCACTGTAGATGTGACTATAATCGAAGTATTGCAAATGTTAGATTCCGCGAGAACTATGGCATTATATTGCTATCACATATTTCGAAGGTGTGCTCAGGCAATCGAAATACATCACCGACTGAACTCGGTATTGACGCTGTGTCATCTGCAGTATCCCCCACTGTGGACGTTACTACAACCCAGAAATACGCTCACCCCTCGCAGTCAATGTCATCCCCCCTATGTGGATATGTGTACAACACAACGCTATCTTCAACAACGCGCTATCTGTTCACTACGGGTGTAACTATAACGCAACGCTCAGTAATTTGACATACCCTGACTGTAGACGTGACAACAACACTACAACGTACAATCCTCTCACTATGTATGCGATTAAAACACTTCGCACTATCATGAATGAATGCGCAAAAGACTTCAGATGATAGAACCATCCACATGTCATTGTTGCTACATGTCATAGTACAGTGAGCCGGGGAGAAACTGGACGTGGTGTGGATTGCAATTCGTGTTATAGTCTATGGACCAAAATAAAATAAACGCAAGCATTGAGGCAATTTCTGATTGGCTAACATTCATGTAACGTTACAGGGGCAACTTGTCGCATGTTTGTTGAAACCTTCGATCAGCCGCCGAAAATAGCATGGGTTCTCGGGGTTTATCCCGAAAACCCTCCTACCGAGCACAGGACAAACAACGAAGTCCTTCACACTACAATTACTACACATACAAAGTAGTAATTATACTTAAACTATTTCCGGTCGAGGAATGGCTTTTACAAAGGACTTCTTGATCGCGAAGGCATACATTTATCCCAGGCTTTGATAGAACGCATGATCAAGGCAGTGACCACGGGGATTTTTCTTCGAGCCACAAGTTTCTTACATGGACCCATGACGCTAATGTCTAACGGTTGCGCTGATGCAGTTGGGAGGGAGAGGCTCTAGCACACTAAACAAGTCACGAGCAACATACTCCGATGATTCTTGGGTCATGTGAGCGTCGAAATTGTCCACCAGATCACGGTGGGTCTAGGCATCTCATACTGCAGCATGTCGAGATACATCCACATACGACCATCCGCGTTGATAATGTCGCGGAGGTTGTGGTCGTTGTACAAAAGTCGCCGCAAAGTCGTTCCGGATGAGCACCCGGATGAGCACCATGTCGAGTTCTGCGAGCTTCGTGTTGCATGGTACGAGTTGCGAAAAACGTTGGCGTAATGCAAACCAATGGCACAAGCGCAGGAGAGACTTGTAGGGGTCCACTTTACCGTCGACATATGCATCCAGCCATGCCTTGTGGTAGGTCTTCATGAAGTTGATCATGTGCATCGAGGTCAGGATGTGCTCATTGCGACGCACATCCGCCATGAACGTGAGAAAGTCGTACGAAACGTAAGCTTCTTACGGAGTGTCATCCAGGTGATCCATGTTGTTCGTGGAATGCCATTCTCCATACAAAACTTACGGCTGCTGACACTTAGCCCGTCGAATTGAGCAAGGAGCGCTCGTTTTCTTGCCAGGGTGCACGATGGCTGCTGACGGCGTGGTGGCATGAGATCGGCTCCAAGGAAGGTTTAAAAGTAAAAGTATGTTTTTGAAATCGTGCAGCGTGGTTGATTTGTCCAATCACTGCCATTTTAGTCAAAGAGATCTGATTGGCTGACATGTGTATTTATTCAGTTTAACGATAAGTGTATATTAAACAAAAATACATCACATTTTAGAGGTGGTCGAGTTTCTTGGGGTCCAGTTTCTATACTTCAGGAATTAATACTACGTAGTACTACTACGCGTACTTCGTAACGTTATTACTAATATTAATATTACATTAAGAGCATCTCCACCGTACACGGAATTTGACCCTGAAACTGAATATTACTCAGTGTCGATGATATTTTGATCCTGAATTTACCCCCACTCCAACACTGAATTCGACATTGAAACTGAGTTTCAGAATCCCTGGCCCTGAGTTTTGACCCTTCCACACGGAGTTTTCACTAAAAACTCCGAGTCGAGGTTTTGCGCCGAATTCATCTAATAACAAGACATGTGTATGGTATACAAACTAGTCTACACGAAATACATTTCAATTGCTGGACGACGATGTCGTTATCGATGAACGACATGGAGAACGAGTTACTCTCCAAGACATGGGTAGCAGCATCTGAGGATCGAATCAAGGTTAGTAACTCTGAGACGACAGCCCTTGCAAAGCGCTTCATAGATTCGATGGTTGTCGATTCACCAAGGCAACGATGGTGAATCGAGTAAGCGCATATGCCATAGGCCAGTATACGCATCGACGCAATGCACTTTTGTAATGGCGACATACCTATATTATCTTTTATTAAGCTGGGTGGTTTCCCGTTCTCTCCAAAGTAGTCGTCAACAATCTGCTGGTGCCTACCAGCCCGGTTTCGATCCAAGTTTGGCTGGCGACCGCGACGAGACCCGCTCCATGATCGTGCATAGCTGCGGCTTGGCGTACGGCTTCTTGGACTGCCGTACTTATGATGACGTCGATTTTCTCGTCGGACGAATCCGTCAATTGATTCCACAACTACATGAGTCGGCCATTCCAGCTAGGGTGCGCTACTTTACCTATTGTGATTTTTTACAATACGTTTGTGTACGTAATTGAACGTTTCATTTTTCTGTAAAGTTAATGTATGTCAGTCATTTGAATTAACTATGTAGACTTTCGAGAAACTTCGTAAGGCAGTTGCAGTCACTCGTGTATTGTATACTTCGAAGTACAGTATAGAATCCTCCATTCAAATACCACATCAACGGTCGCATCTTCATTTGTGTTTTGGGGAGTTTTGGGAAAATATTCCAGTTGGACTTCGAAAAATATCAAACAAAATAGCTGGAGTACTGCGAATTATAGGTATTAATTAATAGCACAATTACTAGTATGAACAAAACAATTTTATGCAAATATACTTATTATTCCTCGTCTTTAGTTTCATCGTCGATATCACTACCTCCTCCATCGCTTTCTTCTCCCATCATGACACTCACTAAATTTCCGCGAGAAGAGCTGTCGCCATTCATGTACAGTTGGACCAGCATTGACACTTTGTCGGGGCTCAATCGGTTTCGCCGCTTGGTTAGGATGAAGTCGTAAATACTCCAAACCCTTTCTGCCGCTGCTTGGGAAGTCGGTACGTTGAACACAGTTTGAGCGACCACGTACAGAGCCGGGATCTTCGTCGATCCAACTTGGTGCCAATACGTCATCGGCGTCACACACTCCTCGATAAACGAGCGAGCCTTCGTCGACGGGTTTTTCATAGCATCCACAAACGCAGCGATCTCGACAAGAACGTGGTGGCGATCCGGGTTGATTTTCTTCTTTTACACGATAAACTTCACCAGTGAGCGGCTGTTGTCGTACAGATTATCTTCAAACATTCCTTCTCCGGCTCGGGTGGCTCGATCAAGAAAAAACGCGAATCCCATAGATTCCGTATGAATGAACGCCCAGCGATCCATGACTAGCTCAGTCAACTCCACGTTGGAATGCCAATGCTCTCGCAGTTGAAGGAATACACGGTACACGTCCGACAGGCAGCAATAATCACTTTCCAACTTGTCCATAATGGTGCACGTTGGACGCAGCAACACAACCAACGCCTCGAGGTTACTCCAGAACGTGCGTCCTCCACGATGCGGCTGAACTCATTTTTCTTCTGTCGGGCGGACGTAGAGCCCTTGAAGTCCTTAAAAACCGCCGATACAACCAATTGACCAAGGACGCCCCGGTTCTCCAGCACTTGCCTAAGCAGTTGTACTGAGTGTACCTGACAGTTCCCCGTCGACATGCATGTGTTGTTGGATGCGCTCTATTCGCTTGGTCAACGCGTTCCGGTCCTTGAAAAACGAACTAACATGTCGGGAGCTTTCGAGGATGGTGGCGTAGAGTTCGAGCTTACATTCATCCTTAACCAAGACGTTGAGCGCGTGGGCAGCACATCCATTGCATATGAGCCCGGGATACTTGGCTTCAAGTATCTTCCACGCTGCTCGTATACACGCTGCGTTGTCCGTCACCACACCGGAGATTTTGTCGATCCCAATGGCCAACATGGCGTTTTCCAAGTCGTGCGCGATGCTCTCCCCGTCTGCGACGTTTCGACTGTTGAAATGGCGCTGACGAAGACTGGCTTCACGGACTTGTTCGGGAACACCGCGACAAAGTTCACCATATGATCGTTGCGTAGAGATGTCCACCCGTCCAAAACGAGGCTGATGCGAGTCTGGTCTTGAACGAGCTGGTTCATCTTGGCCATCATGTCCTGATGAGCATGATTGAGCAACGGCCCAGCGATGGCCTTGGCGGTGGGGGGTGCGCATACGCCGGCTGAGCAAGCTCGATGAATATTTCCAATGCGGGGCTGTCAGCAAATCGAAATGGTATGCCCGTTGAGTAGAAAATGTCGGCGTAGGCTTTGTCCAATGTGAACTTTTCCCCAAGGGAGATGCGATCAATCCAAGCACCCATGCGTTCGTGCCGGGGGGACAGAGCGGCTTCCTCGGCTTCCAATGGTTGGTTAACTTGGACAAATGCGGCGAGGGATGCATGCTTTTTTAGTTGAGGTGTGTTGACTACGTGCGGCGCTGCAGCACAGTGGTTCAAATGGGAAGTCCATCGTTGCTTGCTGTTAGGGAGCGCGTGGCTGCAATACTTGCATTTGATTGCTCTCGCCTTGCCTTTGCCGCTTTTGATCACGTGAATGTCCATCGCTCGTGTGAATGTAATTTGAAGGATTTGTAGTAGTAGTAGTTTCAATCTTAAAACGACTGATACTGTTCTAAAGCTGTCGACAGTTATGCTATGTGTAGTTATAGCGGTATTCCAGATCGATGTATTGTAATGTGGAATTTTACAATACAATGCAATACGTATAATTTTGTATAGTAAACACTGTACGTATTATGTATAGGGCGCACCCTAATTCCAGCGCTTTGCGTGGACTTCGAAATGACCATGCATATCTTATCTATTTATACTATATTAATTTTCGCAGAATTGTGGTTAAAAAGTCAGTGTCACCATGCGAACGAATATCCTTCACACTCAAATTTATTGAATTCAGTGCAGAATATGACACTGAAAAAGACTTAGATCCAGGCAGGGCTGGGGAAAAAATAATTGTAATTTAAATTAATCGTTATTTTTACCACTGCAATAATTTATTTTCTGAAAACAATAATTTATTTTCGACAGTTCGATCACCAGCACCAATAACAAATTGGTGGACCATATTGACCAATAATTGTTTAATTGTATTCAACCTCCTCCCTTCTCATTACTATGATTCAAAGCGCCATTATACCTCATACTAGTACTCCTCAAAGGAGCTCGCCAAACTCTTCGACAAGATCGACGAATCGTCTTGACCATCGTTTAGGGCAGAATTATCGAAAATATGGACAATAGTTGTTCCGAGTCAGAAATATTGAATTTTTCGGTTTTTCAAATTTCAATAAAATTATGAATTGTTCTTCCGAACGACAATATATTGAAATTATATATTGACAAGCTAAAATTAATTTAAATATACCAGCCCTGGATCCAGGGTCAAAATCCGTGTTCCGGTAGAGATGCTCTAATATCTCGAAGTAGCAATTATGCGGACGAGCTACTGTACCAGTATGTGAGGAGAGTGAAGAATACTTGGTTTATTATGTTATATTAATACGTAGTAGAGTTTAGAGTTTACTATACTAGGGGCATTTCAATACGTACAGTAGTACTATTGCGTCATATTAGTCACTAGATATGACTAGACATGCTGACCACACATAATATGAACGAGTTTGTAACGCGACATGCTCAACCAGCCAACGCACAGAGTGATTTTGCAAATGGGAATATTCCAATGAAATGATCCAATGATTGCAAATACTTCAGTGAGCAAATTTCACATTAGCCAACTCCACTCTTCGAAACACGCATTGCCAGTGTCATTTGAGTGCTGCACGCGTTATCGTCGAGTGGGGGAGTGGTGCTACCTCTTTTATAGGATCTACATCATGTTTGGTCTTGAAGCGATGGGATGGCTTCGTTTATTGGTGGCCTGCTTGACGTGCTGCTTTGACATCGAATGGTTGTGAGTGTATAAAGGTGTGTCCCGTCAGAGAAATTTATTTGTCTGAAGTTTCCAGTGGGTGCACCGAAATGTCTCACTGGATCATTTCATTGGAATATTCCCATTTGCAAATCACCGATGGCTACCTCGTACAAGGCGGCAACCACGACCGAGGCGGCGGCGACTCCATTGCCGTTTCTGTCAAAGGATACCAAGCACTTGCTCAGTGGCGGCGGTAGTAGTCCATCCATGTCTACGTCGTAACTCAACCTCGTAGTCGCTGGATGTGCGTCACGAACGGCTGTGGCGCCATTGGAACGCCTCAAGATCCTGTACCAGGTGCAGGACGTGATGAAGCGCGGCACCGAACCCAAGCAGTACACTGGAATGGCCCAGTCCCTTCGAAAGATCATGGTGGAAGAAGGATGGCGCGGGATGTTCAAAGGCAACGGCGCCAACTGCGTCCGCGTGTTTCCCTACACTGCCATCCAATTCGCCGCGTACGTGCGTGCAGCTCCATGTATGTACGTGCACACCCCTAACTTGGAGTAGGTTTGAACGCCTTCGTCCCGTGCTGGCCGAGCCTGGGGCAACCGACCTCAGCCCATTGCGCAAGCTGCTGGCCGGGTCCATCGCCGGTGTTGTTTCCGTACGCTATGCGACACTGTTTCAAGCCAGCTCCGTTGACTTGATGCCGTCGAGAGTGTTGTAGGTCGCCTTGACGTATCCTTTGGACTTCATTCGAGCTCGCATCACTGTGCAGGGCAACTTGACCACGCAGCACTACAACGGCATCCTTCGTACGTTGAACCATACATAATACAGCATGGAGCGATGGATCATTGCATGAATGCTAGACAACAACTCCAATATTCTCACTTGTGGATGTGTAGATGCATTTCAAGTGACGATTCAGCAAGAAGGAGTCAAGGGATTGTATCGGGGGATGTCGCCGACCATCGTGGGCATTGCGCCATATGTGGGACTCAACTTTATGGTGTTTGAGAGCTTGCGGCAAAACGCACCCAAAGGTATATACAGTTGATAAGTTGTGAATTCGCTATAAATGTCCGAAATTCGCAGTGGTTTGTCTCTAATCAATACTGAAAGTTCTGATTGGCTGGCTATACTTGTAAGCTCCAATCAAATCTACTCAAGATTGGATTAGCCAATACCGTCGATTCGTGATTCGATTCCACGGCGAGATTTGGGGTCTGGAAATTTGTGCCGAATCCACAATATATACTAGTATTTATTGTATGTCCAAACACCCAATACTACGTCATCGCAACGTATAGATGAATTTGGCGTATATTGTGCTTTCGAGTGAAATTTCGTGTTGCGTGTGGCGTGGTTTCTCGTTGGAATTTAAATTGATTTGATTGGCTACTTCAGATTTGCTTAAAATTATTAACCAATCAAAACCTTCTCAATGAAATTCAACCAATCAGATCGATTGTGGATCGGTTTGGTGGCGCAATTCGATTGCACCCCCTCCCCAAATTTATATCAAATCGACAATAAATAACAAATGTTTTTATCGCAACATATAGATGAATTTGGACGCCAGGACATGCTGTACTTGCTCGGGTGTGGCGCCATTGCCGGAGCTTGTGGGCAATCGGCCGCGTACCCATTTGATCTGATGCGCCGCCGGTTCCAGCTCAATACGTTGAGTGAAAAGGTATGATTGATCGGTGTCGGGAATATATATATTTATTCCCACTTGTGACTTTTATTTTATAATTTTGGCTAGCAATACACGGGCACGTGGGACGCCGTGCGCAGCATCTACCAATCCGAGGGCGTCGTGGGCTTTTACAAGGGCCTGGTGCCTAACTCGGTCAAGGTCATTCCGTCCATTGCTGTCATGTTTGTCACGAACGAAGCGTTGAAGCGATACTTGATGGAGTAGGACGTTTTAACCTAATGAACCTGGTGGTGCCTGCTTCCTCTTACTTGAACGCGTATATATACTGTATTATAGACAAGGTAGGGGGGGAAATAATTTTAATTATTATTGTTGTATGCGAGCATGAAATTTGGATGGTTGTGCGGATTTACCAAAGCCATCGATAATTGTTTGTACTGAATTTTGCATGGAACATGTGTAAAATAATTGACAATTCAATACAGAAAATACTTCAAGCGCTGGCAAATTGCAATTATTGATATTGATTATTGTCATAAATATTCAATGGATTGAAGCAATATTCTATCTTATCTTTTGTAAACGAGTAATGCATCAAGAATTGACATTTAAATTGCGACAATGTTTAATTGCTGGCAATGCCAAAAAACAGAGGGGTAAAGAATTGTCTCTCGAATTGGCTGCAATTAAATATTTCATAAACAGTATATATGCTGCAATTAAATACTTAATTGCTCTATTTCGAGAGACAATTATTTGCAGTTAAATTATTTACTGTTAACCCTTTAGACCGCTAAAAAATACGTCGAAGTATTTTTTCTTGTCCTGATTATATAGCCGTCCGTCCATACAGTATTTGCCGTTTGCGTAATGCGAAAGTATTCATACTAGTAGTAACTTTTACTCGGAGTATCATACTCCGAGTACTAACGTTCCTTGAAGTACGTACGTACATTAGACGTATAAAAACAAACGGCTTTTGCCTGATTTGTGGTGGGTACATTTGTGTACTACGTACTAGTAGTAGTAGTACTATAGTACTGTAGAATGTACTAGTAATACAAACTAGTACTACTACTTCCTTCGAAAAGTAGTAAGTGTCCTGGCACATTGCACTTGGTGATTCCACATTGGCAACTTTGATTTCGAATCAAAGCTCAATCAAATGCGCTGAAGTGGTAGTAGTGTTAGTATTGTTTAAATTGGAAACGACCATCTTTCATGTGCACTTTAAACCACCGAGATCTTACTGCAATTACAAACTGCCCACCACTGATTCTATATCGTTCTATTGTCTTGGAGGTACGCCAGTCGATGACATGACACTCGACCTCACTGATAGTTAAATAGTTCGACGCTGGACTGTGTCATGTATAGCAACTTCCCACAAGATCTTTACTAATCTCCTCTCCATACTGATGGAATTTGTCGAAAGTGATTGGTTGTTCTACATCATCTATATTGGGCGTAACGTCAATTAAAAGATTATGCATGTTGATCACACAAATACTGCTGCCGCTTATATGATCTTCTTTCGCAGCCACTGGCGCGGCAACGATGTCCTACGCCGATGATGGTTTATTACAGTATTAAAGCACACTGTATATGCATTGGATTCCACAAGTGCATACCTCCACCATGGGACCAGCAAAGACCTCCTTTTGCCACGAGTTTCGAGCACGATTCTTCGCTGCATTGTGCGCCTACATTTTTCGTTTAACGCCAACAATACGCTACCATTGCATGAGTAGAAGCCGACATAAGTTACCTCCGCCATGAGCCCAACACCGGCCATACCGTTTGGCTTTGCTACTACAACCTTCTGTCGAGCACAACACAAACCCTCCTGCAACATTATTATCAGCACCAGCCATAAACATGACAACGTACCGTGTAAGTAGCATCGATTGAACCGCTTAGTTCGCTTTGTGCATCCGGCCACCGAACACCTCGTGCCGCCCTGTCCAAGTAATGTGCTAAGTAAGTATAACAATCAAACAAGGGGGAAAGACTTACCCCATGTCGAACGCATCGTCCCTTGCTCACGGCGGCAGTTGTGCACTCTTCAACGCTGCACTTGTTGCGATGAGTGACGCTAGTCGGCACTGCCAAGCATGGGCTCTGTGATGGTTCAACCAATTCCAGCTGCGCTGGGCGGCGGCCCCCCAGTAGGTACTCCAAGGACCCTATGACTTCCCCTTGTGATTGTTCGTGGAAGGGATTCAAGATGAAATCGACGCTGGACTTGGCCACAATTCGATGCAGTGACCCATAGTTGTCCATCTTGTCGGGATTCGTTTTATTGCAATATGGAAGACATTGGTCAATTTTACCATGTCAAAACCGTTACACTCCCAAGTTTGACCTCCACAGTCAATTGCATACGAAATCGAAAACGTCCTTTTTAAAACGAAATATACCAAATTTCTCGTGATTTGGCGAATTTGATGCCAATTAGCTGAGGTTTTATTGGAGACACGGGGATGTGTTTTGGCATGGATTCGTCGAAGTGCATCCTTGTCGTACGGTATTTTCATAGAAGGGTTGTCGCAAGGGGTGATATGACTTATAACATGAGATATAGCTAATCGGGTACTGTAGGTATAAAGGAATATGCGGACGAGATGGTGTCGCAACAATGCAGCTACGCACAGGTGGTGCTGAAGGGGGGGGGCAAAGAATGAATGATCTGTCGTGCTAAAACTATGTACTGCTACAGTACCCCAGTACTGCCCATCCAACCTGACTTCAGCCATGAACAACACTGAACTCATGCAAATTTCGAACTAGGTTTATGTACCTTGAACCACAGGATATGCTAATCCGCAGTGTCGAACCCTGCCAACAAATACTTTGGCATGGGGCCATGTATTGCTAGAATGCGATTTCCATCACTGCATAAACCAGTGATTTTTACGTCGGCCTGCGCTATTGTACTGGATGCTTTGGACCCCGTCAATCCAATATGACTGTGCATACCTTAAATTTTAACACGTTCGAAGTGTCTATATCCTAGGACGTACAGTAAGTTTACCTTAGTTTTTACTGGTACTCGATCTTGACGAACAGTGACCAAGCAGTGCAGATACACGAACTTGTGCTAGTTGTGATCACCACACTACCCGAGTTATGTACTAAAGTACACTACACATGCCATCAAAGTGGGTTGTCGGAGCCCGGTGGTGGTGGCTTTGCTGGTTGCTAACATATCGTATAGACCGAAGAAACCATAGTAGACGTTCTACTTAATTGTCTTAGAGTGAGGAGTTCGCCCTATCATGTCCCCTTAATCCCAAACAGTTGGATTCAAATGGATGTGTTGCCCACTGTCGACACATACTATGTATACTATATGCGTGTCCTTGATGACGACATTAGGCGATTCAGGCCATGCGCTATGTATTACTAGTAATAAACTTGATTGATAGAACATCGCCTAGCTCAAGCGTTACATGCTGTTGGCAGCGAAAGCCAAACTATTCGTAGCCGTGGCGACCGCACTGCAGGAAATCGCGCCGATAGCCGCTTCCATTCGTCCAGCGCTTGTCGCCTTTGATAGGCAGCTTGTCGTAGCCGAGGTTGGCGAAGGCCTCCTCTGTGGATAACAACTCCTAGGTTCCATATCGCTTAGCTTTGTTTGCAGTATGTACCAGCGGTGCTTGTGTTGATCGTATTCACAGACCCAGCGGTTTCGGTGTGGCAGTTTCACATTATTAGCTCTGCATCCGTGGTTAGTGGCTGACACAATACTATTATCTTGGTCAACATGATCATACTAAGCAATGAATTCAATTAGGCCCGTTAGACAACGTTTTCCAAGCTGACCTCACTCTTTACTTCGAAGTATTTGATACTTGGAATATGACAAAAGAAACCTTTTTGCATGTTACCAGGGAACGAACAGGTGCTGAACTTGACTGGTACGTCGGATAAGATGTCCCATCACAGAGGCGTTGAATCCATGCGCAATAAAATGGCTGTCCATCGAGCACATGCATAACAGTTACCAGTACACTTTGTACCCACAAAATGAATACTAGTATCAAACATAACAATACCCGAGCACTAGTACTAGTATATTACAGTACTCATAGGTGCATACTGTACTTCGAAGGTTAACGTTCACGTTGGCTCAAGATTTTTACAAGTTATGCTTAGGTTACACTACGTACTGCCGCAGTATTTGTTGCATGTTGTTGGCAGCGAAAGCCAAAGCGTTTGTAAGCGCGACGACCACACTGCTGGACATCGCACCGGCACCCGCCGCCATGGGTCCAGCACAAACCCCCTTTGACCGACAACTTGTCGCAACCAGCTTCGGTACATGTGATACCGCCCCCGTGAGCCCAGCAACGTCCGAATCGCTTGGCTTTGCTGGCACACCCGTGCTCACTGCACATGAGGAAGCCACCTACAGTACGTACGCCACATTGTCATCCAAAAAGCACACATTTTTTATCTGTTACCATGCATGTAACACCGCTGAAACCGCTTTGTTCGTTTGGTGCACCCTGGTTCCGCACATCTCGTTCCACCCTAATGCAAACGTGTCATCTGTGACATGGTTGGAAAGGAATTGATTGACTTACCCCGTGTCGAACACATAGCCCCTTGCTCACGGAGGCGGTGGTGCAGCCCAAGATCTTGCACTGATGGCGTTGGGGTTGCGATGCTGCTGTGGGTTGTGTAAGGCATGTGTGTCGGAATTCGACCGAGATTAGTTCTTGGACAGCCGTCTCTAATTTCCACGATTGGGGGTGCGGACCAAGTAGAAGGGGAGGGCTGCTTGCATGGAGTGGTCTAGCAAGTAGTTGCTGAGATGCTGTCTGGAAATGGGGCTCGGCGACTTCGTTTGCGTCGCATGCGACGGGATTGAGAAGGAAGTCCATGCTCGTTCGATGCATATTGTTGCTCTTGTGGTGGTGCAGGGGTCCAATTCCGGGGAAATGCGGTTGTGGTGGTCGAAGAACCAGTCGAGGCAGTTTCACATGAACCGTTTCGTTTTTTCGCCAACGCGTCGGTTGCTGGGTAAGATTGACTTGGTAAAGTTCTTGTTATATGTGCACTGTCCAAATGTAAGGGCGATAGATAGTTTACAAGCGAAAGGGCAGAGCAGTCCTTAGCGCAAAGGAGGTATTCCATTCGCACTGGTCGCACCGAGCTCAAGTCAGTGTCACTCACCTGTGGACGAGCATCTAATATTCTCGGTGTTAGTTAACCTTAACATAACTCATGTCTATTGGACTTGTGGAATGGCCGTTTTGCAATTGATGGAAAAGGGGTGAAAGGTTGCATGGCTGCTGCGTAACGGTAACGGTTACAAATCTGTGCCTCGTCTTTATTGCCTGCCTTGGCGTCAAGTCAACCAACTACCCATGGGTAGCCAAGCCAACGTGTAAAGACTACGACCCCCACATTTGCGTTGTTCATAGTTCTACAAGGACCGGCAAGGTCACAACGAACAGGTTTGGTTGGCACGGCTGAAACCAAATCATATCACCCTGAACGGTTTCAGTGTCATATCTTGCTGTGTTTCGATTGGTTGTCCAAACAGTTTACACTCCAAAACTTGGTACGCAGCAGATTGTCTGTAAGTTTGAAGCAAGGTATGCGCCGTTGCCTGAACTGGAGTGGGCGAATGATATCCTTCAATGGTGTAATTGATCGCAACAACTTTACAGTTCTCGCAGCACCTTGAAGTACTTCGTATCTTCTAGCTCACCATGCAACCATGGCTGCTCGCCTTGTTGTCGGCGCAGTCGCACGTTTGTAAATCACACTTATGTGGTCGATATATTAGCAGAGGGTGAATTGGTGGTTGTATTTGCAGTAGTAGTATCGCTTATTTACAGAAGTGTAGTCTCGGTTATCGCACGAGCTACAATATAGCGACGCGATGGAGGTATTTACTCGTATGAAAGCAAATCAATTGCTGGTTATGTCGTCGGGTATGTTTGCTCTAGAGGAAATATTGTGGTGTTTATTCTAAACTGGAGCGACATGGAGAATGTATCGACACAACCAAATGTACACATAGAAACCACCATCAACGTCAAATTAGTGTGGTACTTCAATTAGTGTGATAGCAAACATACAAAATTCAGTACAACGAATCGATGGATAGATTTGGTGTTTCAGCACTAAAGTCCAAATTTTGGGTAAAAGGACAATACTATTGATCAAACCATCCAGCAAACGTTTTTTATGTATTCATTGTGGCTGACATACAAAATGTTAACGTTATACTGTACTCGTAGTCTTCGGGTCTAAAAGCCAGGAACTCCAGTGCACAGGCGCATGAGGTCTCGGGTGAGTAGCCCTTCGAGGTCGTGGCTGTCAACCTGCACATGTTAACGCCACTAGTACTGGTCTATTCACTTACATGATCCTGCCATCGGAGTGTCCTGGGATTGTACACGTATGTACGCGTGCCCGAGATCTACGAATGAACGATGCCTCAACGATGCAACACATTGCACTGGTAGTTTCTTCGTAGGAACGCACTGGAGACACAAGTTCAATCTTTTGCGTTTTCGCCAACACCGTCAACTGAAACTCATGTGCAGCCAACGTCACCACCAATGCATCTAAGTGGATATATGAGTCGTTGATGGAGCAGTGAGTGTTCTCCATGGTCACCTGGATTGGAAGTTCGCGACACATGGAAGATGGTGTTCACGGGGGGAAGCAGTGGCTCCAGGGCGCCTTCCACGCGTGCCAAGCACGAGCCTGCCAGCGCCTTAAACCTACGAGTGAAGCAGCTTCGGTCCAAGGTCGTCCATAGATTGGAGGTGATACGAGGAAGCGACTGACTGGTCAGGTCGGAGCTGAGGCAGCCCTCGCTTCTGCGATGACGTTGGGATGGACACTGTGTTGAAAGCGCGCTTCAACGCCATGTCGTTCCACAACGCCGCTTGGACTCGACGGCCATGCATCATACTGGTCGTTCGGAATGCAATTTGCAAGACCCCTTGTGATTGGTTGAAAACGTCCAATTTGAAAGTTACAGCAATTAATTCGATGACATTTGGCGCGACTCGAATATTTTCTGGCACGTAATACAACAGTCCATATGACGTTTGTTACAGTGAACCTTTGTACACTTGCTACACAGTACAGTAGCTCCACTCATGTTGAGGGGCTGCCGTTGTAAGCTACAAGCTGCTCTACGTCCACAAGCTTATGCATCGTCATCCCCCGAGTCGTCCGAGTCGTCCGGCATGACACTTTCTTCGCCGTCGCTGGTAATGTCGCTCATATCCGACCCTTGGCGCGACATCACGGATTGGACATCCGCCATGGCGAGGATTTCTCCGGTGGAAGCATAGTGTTTGGCAATGCGCACACGGGCCCCCTACGTCCGACCATAAACAAGACACAAATTCCTCTCTTTTAAAACTCCAACGAGCAACGTACGCGGGGGTAGTTGCCGTCGGCATCGCCCTGCATGAGCTCCACCAACAGCCCGAGACAATCCACGAGTATGTTGCGGACGTTCACGCTGGTCACTTGCAGCGCGAACGAGTGCAGCTTGGCGTCTTCCTTCTTGCCCCGCTTGGCCTCGACGCTCCAGCACTGCTGCTCCCTGCCTCGGGCGTCACGCCAGCTCAGCGACTTTGAAAACTGAGCCGACTCGCACCCCTTGACCACTCGCTCGATGTTCCTATGGATGTTCATTCGCACCTTTGGACACGAATGTGGGTGTAGTAGTACCACAAATGCATGAACTTGCCAGCATGCTTGTCGGTTTTGGATCGGCCCACGCACAGCCGTCCGTCCAACGTGAGCCAGATCACGCGCTTCCGAGCTGGCCCTGCGTTCGGGTACTTGGTTAACTACAGTAGTTGGAGGGAACGAATGTGTTCAGACAACGTTAAGGTTAGTTTTTGTGCCTGTTGTTCTGGTCGATATGAGGCTGCATATATATGACCTCAAAGCCCGTGACGAGAAGCTGCCAAATTGCTTGCAATCGCATGCGTTGCGTCTCGCTGGTTCCGTGGGTGTTGACCACGTCGCCAAGCACCGCGTCTTGTGGTGGCGGTGGTGGGTGGTTTAAGTGCAGACCAGCGCGAAACATGCTGTGGATGCGCTCCAAACCACCCGCTTTGCAACGTACACAGTGCAACATCAGCATATATATGATGCCCATACTCGGAGCAGGTTTCAAATACGAGATGATGTGCTGTACCTGTCGCAGATCGACGAGGAGCGTTAGGATGACGCAATGCTGTGCCTTGAAGATCTACATGCTGCGCTCCTTGTGGAGCATTGCCAGCACTACTTCGCGTGTGGACCGTCGATGGCATGCCAAGGCAACGGATGTTGAAAACCGTTACAGTGACCTTTCGGCCTCACTTCAAAATGTTTCAATACAATTTCCCTGAGAATCCTTCGGGGAATATCTTGTTGGGAAGGTGTTTTTGCTATAGGAAAAATTCACATTTAAGCAGAGCTACCGCAGTGTTCGTTGTTGCGGCTCTTCTGGAGCAGGTAGTGCGCGCTTCCCCATCTTTACGCATATCAATAACCCAGTGCAGTAGGTGCAATATGTGCAGTATGTGACCTTGCATCATCCCTATAGGCTGCATCGTGCCGACGTACAAACATGACCGCTTTGCGGTGGTCGATGAACGCAGGGATAGGAGGATCTGTTGGCCGGTTTACGTTCAGCACTATCCTATCCCACCGCTCGCCTACGTTATCCTCGCTCATCTACTAGTACGTCCTACCTACCACTCATCTACGTTTGGTGCTTACCATGCCAATCATCCATGAAGGGAAGTTGGCAATTTAGCATGTTCAAGTGTTTTGATTGGCTATTGTGTGTGAAAAGGTATCCCCAGTCAGAAATTCTGACAGAATATATTCATCAAGAAATTCCCAATATAATCAGATCAAAAGGCTTCATCGTGAAACTTTTCAGGAAATATCACGTATTAATAGCAAAATCACTCTAATATACTACTATTCATCAAGAAATTCCCAATATAATCAGATCAAAAGGCTCCATTGTGAAACGTTTTAGGAAATATCACGTAGCAAAAGCACTCTATTATTAATATTAGTTGTAACGTTATGTGTTATTAATATTTATTCTCTGTCATTTGGCACAGGAGATTTTGAGATAAAAAGGGTGAAGGGGTCTGCGGGGTTTGTAAACGCGAGCTTTTGTTTCAGCACTTCGGCACTTTGCAGGGATACTGGACCTGGCAGCCATATATCAGTGAGGGATTTTCCAGGCGATCTCCTCGTACCTGGGACTTGGACGATGGACGCCGTGGGCAGCGCGTGCATTTGCCGATGCAAATCTCGCGAGTGGTCAAACAATGGTGCATACAAGGATCGGAATTCATCGAAGCCAACGCCGTGGAAAGTCACGCAAAACTTACCAGGCCCGACAAGGCCGCCGCCTATACACACACTTCCGTCACCACTTCGAATGACTGATCAACTACTAGTAGTTCCTACCAGGCACTGAAGAAACAATGCCTTCGTAGGTTGGTCGGCCGAAATAAGGGACGCAAAAGCGGTGGGACGATTCAATGTTGTACAGCGGTAGCGAAAAGCTTCGGAAATGGCGATTGGACGGGTCCAGCTCGACGTACACGAGGCGATACGACGACACGTACAGGCGACCTCGCTTGCCGTAGTACACGCCACCTTGGCCGGGATATCCAGCCCCGCTGTAGACGTTAAAGCTAACGTCATCCAACACGAAGATGAAGCGCTCGAAGGGCGTGATGAGCATCGGCGAGTTGTCGTGGAGCAAGATCGGGTCTACCGACATGATGGCGATTCGAAAAGTCCGACAACCTTGAGAAGGTGGGATAACCGGATGACTGTATCCGGAATATCAAGTTGCCTTCACAAGTGACCGGATGACTGTATCCGGAGTCGTATCACTTGGATCATTATTATATTTTTCAAAAGTGACATTATTTCCATATGGTTGATCTTTATCACGGCGGTTACAAAGTCGTAGAAGAACAGTATCAAGGCGTACTTGTGTCACTATCATCCGAGTCCGAGTCAAATCTCGATGCAAAGGTGGTCTGAGAAGGAGGACATGGGTGCAGCTTGGAGGTGTCCGAGCCTTGGCGGTGCAGCAGTGTGCGCACCTCTTGGATGCTCAGCACTTCACCTGTCGCGGCGAAATGCTGAGCGATCTTGACCCGCATCGCCTACCACGTCATCGTGTGATCCATACCATGCCTACATACTAGTTGAGCCACCTTGGAGAAGTCTCCGTCCACATCCCCTTGCACATGATTAAGGAACATGTTCAAGTTGTCGACGATCACATTGCGAACGCGGGCCGACTGCACTTGCAGCGCAAAGTCTTGGCCGGCATGCTTGCCACGAACAGAAAAACACGTTTGCTCGCGCCCCCTTGTCTCACGCCACGACAGCGACAGGTTAAACTGCGACGCTGTGCACCCTCGGTCCAGCTGGTCAATGCTCCTATCCAGTTGCAATGTATGTTGCCAACATCGTCGACGTTTATCATGGAGAATAAGTACCAAAGCGGAATGGCCTTGGCGGCCTCCTTCAATCCTTTGACCCGCCCAAGGCAGAGTCGACCGTCTAGGCTTAGCCATAACACACGTGTCCGCGCAGCTCCTTGGTGTGGGTATTTCGTAACCTATCGAGAAAACCTGTTAATGGAAACACTTTTCAAGCTGAAAGGATGGTACCTCGATGCCTGTCACGAGGAGCTGCCACGTCGCCTCCATACGAAGCACTTCGAGCCGTGCTTGCTTGTACGCGTCGTAGATGGGGTTGGCTGTGATGGTTGAAGGCGGCGCTGACTCAGTCGCAGTCATCGGTTTGGAAGAAAACACGACCAGCGACGGACGGAACGACGCGCCTCGAATCGACTTGACGATGGCGCTGGGAACGCTGCCACGGTGTCGGGGGGCCGCGGGTTTCTCCGATCCGATGGGTGACGACGTGGGAGCGGTCCTGCTTTTGGCTAGCACTCCAAGCACCGACATCGACGACATGGCACACGTCGAAATCCGAAATGTGTAGCGCGTTTAGCGGTTGTTTTGACGGTTACAAATTTGAATTTTCTGGGACTTTTAACATGAATATTTGGCCAAAAATTGAGATAATCCCTGAAATTGCCGAATTGTTTTAGTCTCGGATTGGACCAAATTACTTCGATATGCCGCCAGCGGATGACCACCTGCGCGGCCTCCTTGAGCTGCTTGCTCCGGACAGTCTCTCTGTGAACGGCAACGAGCTCGACCAGTACGTCCTTCGTCGTGTGTATGCCCACCTGATGACGCTCTCTCACACGGCGCAATGATGTGCAGTGCGAGCCAGGACGAGCGGGAGGCGGCGGCGCATGCCGCTACCCAGACCAAGCCAGGTACTTCGTTGGTTGCACCAGAGTACGCATCAACATACTCTAGGGGACATAATCCTCGTCACGACGGGAGGATTCGTCTACTCCACGGGGCGTTACTTGACCCAGCAACCTTGGGACCACGCCGTTCGTTCTGTACTAGTCGTCACCGCGTCTTGTTGACATTCGCATGTAGTTGCTGGTCGTGGATGCCACCAAAGCTCTTCACGTTGGGTTTCCTCGCATCTGCTACGTCTCGTTGGAGCGTGTGCTTCTTCCGAAGCGCCAACCCGCCATCTACCGCGTGCCCAGCATCCACGCCTCGCCCAATGCGCAAACGCTACTCCAAGTACAGTCCCCATTCTTTCGCTCTAGTATTGGCTACTTCACTCTTGTCTATATGCTGCCCTAATATATTCGACTCACTTGACTGTGTTCCTATAGAAATACGCTCAACTCATGCAAGATACCCCGTACGATCTAGCGCGAGCGATATTGTTAGGTCGCCATCTTATGCTCGAACATTTGGTACATACAACGAATACTATACCTAGAATTCCGCTAACTTTGCGAGCGTGTAGTTTAACATCCAGCCCACGACACGGACAGCCGCGCCTCCGCGTAGAGCATGGGTATGCACTGACGCGATCTTGTACGTATGCACGTTTTCTATATCGAGCTAACTTGAATAAATATATATATATATATATATATATAGTCCACCCAAATTTTCCAGCAATATATATATATATATATATATGCCATGTAGGTCGCTTTTAGCCGTGTGTTCGCCAACTTTTCATCGCCAACTCAAGGCCAACACCCCTCGACTACGCAAGATCAAAATTAATTTTTGACGTGGTGCAGCTAATATATATATATATTGTAGACTTGTCCAAGCTGGGAATTGCATCGCTCAAGGATTTCCAAACCCTGCACCACCACAGTGTTCTCGATCGGGTGCCGTTGCCCCCATACAATTTCAACGTGCAGCCCACCCCTGCCTTCGACACGGCGTACTTTATGACGAATGTCCTCGCCTTTCCCAATCCTGTCGTGCTGTGGGACCGCTTTCACAGCGTCGTGGAGCGTTGGGCGGCACATGCTGTATGTATTTTATTGAGGAAATTTCCCATGGGAAGAGTCCCCTGGAGCTGTGAATTGGGATTATAGGCGTACCAACACCCCCAAGCGTTGCAAAAGCAAATACAGGCGCTTGTGTATACCGTGTTGTTCCTCTTGGTCTTGAAAAAGCATTCAGTCGTCCTCTGCCTTCTTCACCGCACTCTGCAACTGGTACAATATATGTATCTTGTATATTATATATATATATATGTATCTTGTATATATATATATGTATCTTGTATATTATATATATATATGTATCTTGTATATATATATATATATATATATGTATCTTGTATATATATATATATATATGTATCTTGTATATATATATATATATATATGGATGTATTTATACTTTTGACTAGTATTTGGTCAAGCAAGTCGCGTTGACGCTGATGCCGCCGTCCAAGCTGTAAAGTCTAATAAAATAATACTCCCACACAATTCTTTACTGTACTCGCAATTCAAATGTAAGTATCCCATGTGCTATGAAAATGGACAGTGTCGTTTGATTGTGTTTAGAGGTTATCAAGTGTGAACTACTATTAATAGAAACTATTAATACGTAGTACTAGTATATAATAGTTAGTAGTACATATTACGCACTCGAATACTATTTCCTTGTGATTCAGTTGGTTCTTGGAGCTGTCAAAAGAAATAGCAATTAACGACACAATATATTCCTTGTGAAAGTACTCAAAGCGCGTGTGGATGCCACGAAAAATGATATAAAATGGCCATTTTTCAAGAAAAAAAGTTGCCCAAAATCGAAATATGCCATGTTTCGAGTTTTGTCCGTCTAGACGCCACCAAAGCTAAAAACTTGCGCCACAAAGATTTTAGAGTATTGGTAGGTTTGTAGTTTTGCACTTGAATAGGAGATTGAATAATTTCTCCACAATGTAGCTGGCATCCAGACAAGTTGGGGGAAGTTCCACGTAGTTTTCAGAAATAGTATGAGCCAATCAAAATCGATGTACCTCTCTTTTTTGACGATTTAAAACAACGACGTCAAGGACTGTTTGGTGTAGTGAGTTTCGTAAAAATCGCAGAAAATGAGGTAAGAAACTAATACTTGGAAGTAAGTTTTCATTTGCTAAAAATATCTACTTGGAACAGGCCCTTAGTAGATTCTTCTCTTTTTCATGGCATGTGAGGCTGTGGGAACATGTTGCAGACTGGCCAACAATACGGGTTTATGGTATAATTTTAAGAGATGGCATCCAGAATAGAATAGCCCTTTAGCAGTCAGTATAAACGCGGTCACAAGTTGCTGTAATATAGTACATACTAGTACATACTAGTAGTAGTCACCCACGGTAGAGATAGGCATATCCACAGCTAGTAGGTTGATTCGGCGTAATGGTGACCACGTGAATTCCGATAGAACACACTATATTGTTGTCCTCTTCCCCAAATATGGCTGACTTTTGTGCTGATTCTCGATCGATTCGTTGACTTTTGGATGTAAACCTCGTCCAGTGTCGTCACACTAATTTCATTCACACACTAATTCGATGTGGAATTGGTCGAATGTGAGTGGATAATTTTGATTGGCTACGTGATTCGTGTTGTGGATTTTGATTGGTCAAGCCTTCGATTTAGTGCATCTGATTCGATTGAGCATCCCACTCTGCGCTGTTCCAACGTCACTAAGTGCTCGACCAGGAACTAGTACGACTCATCTTGAGGGGAGTGGTGGGTGGGGGAAACCTCGTTCAACGAAGTTGCATCGACTTGACAATATAAAAAATCAGTTGTTGAGATCATCCAACTTGTTGTATTTTATTAAAAGTTGAATTTAAATGCTGCTGGGGCGGCAGGGGGACCAGCTAACTTGTCGGCTTTGACCACGGGAGCACTCGGCTTCTTCTTGGCTGCATGTATCCGCTTGCCTTTGCCATACCTACATACATATACACACGTCTCAGTCAAGTCTATTATATATATACCAATATATACCATCAATCGTTTATAGAAACAACTCAAGTACTGTTCAAGGGTGCTCAATGAGCCAAATCAAGACAAAATCGATGATCGACCAATCAAATCACGTAGCCAATCCAATTCTCCACTCACATTCGACCAATGCCACTTCGAATTAGTGTGTGAATGAATGAAATTAGTGTGACGACACTGGACGAGGTTTACATCCAATAGTCAGTGCAACGAATCGATCGATAGGTTTGGCGAAAGTCAGCCACATTTTGGGGAAAATTGACAATAACCAATAGAGCACTCAAACGCATCAAGTACAACTGTCTTGCCATCAGTGAGGCTCCACATTATTGTATGTGTGTGTACCTCAATTGCATCTTTTGAACCTCCGAGCTGTTGTCAGGCGCCTTGCGAAGCGTCACATACGTCGAGTTGGTCGATGGCGGCGACACTTCCACCGGTGAGGGCTGTTCCTTGGATGTAGAAACCTGCTTTTTCTTGGCTTGGCTTTTGTTTGGCTTGGATTTCTTGCCCGATGCAAGAGCCATGGCAGCTAATTCAGACTCGGAGAACCCAGGCTTGTCAAACGTAAACAGAAACTCAAACTCGGTTGGCGCGTCGGAAACGGCCGATTTGGACTTGGCCTTGCTTTTCTTCTTCTTCTTCTTTTTCTTCTTGGCGTTGCTTTCGTCGATGGATACGCTCGCGACGGCGTCCGTGACGGCGGCGACTGCCACGTGTTGGTCCGCGTGCACTCGCGCCTCGATCGCCGCGGGAGACGATGAACCAGGGGGTGCATGTGTGACGACCCCTTCGGCGATCGCGGGAGTGGCGGCGGCTCCCTGTCCGGCCTTTGTCTTCTTCTTCTTGCTCTTTTTAGATTTGGACGGTTCGACTGTGTTATTCTCGCCTGGGGCAGCTACTGGCGTCTCTGCTTGGAATCCAAATTGAAACGTAGAAGTCACTTCTGGCTTTTTGTCTGCTGCATTCTTCTGGAACAGACCTGACAGCTTTCCCTTCGACGATGCAGCCGTCGCGGCGGCGCCGACATCCTTGCTCGTGCTCATCTCGTTGCCACTCAGCAAAGTGCTTTTGTGACTGATGATTGGTTTACACATTCTCCAATCAAAATGAAGCCCGGTTAACACGTAGATTATCCGGATGTTTAACAGCAGAAGGAAGATCTCAACTGAGATGCGCGAGCAGGAGCACAACGCCGGACGCGAAGGCCGTCGTGGCGCCGTTAGATTGCGTGGGCGGGCCTCCTGGGTTCGTCCGCACGCTGGTCTCTCCATCTCCCACCATGGAGTCGTCCATGGTAGTATTCGCTCCTCGCGCCTCTGGCGTCTTCGCGTACACACCCATGGTCGTTCGAGGTGCTACAATCCAAGACGAGTTCGTGCCATTGTGGGCGAGGGCAGATGCCATCGCAGATACGTCCGCCGCGATTGAAGGTTCCATGGTAACGTGTTTCCCATCTTCAAATGCCGGGACCGAGGCGTCGACGGACGATGCATTCATAGCTCCAGGCGTTGGAATGATGGCCAGGATGGGCTCGACTGCTGCGACCGTGGTTGGTGTTGCCGGGCTTCCACGAGATGGAGCAGGGTGGTTGAAGGGGGCGATTGAACTTGACGTAGGACCTGCGCTGGTTGTCGTCATTGGCATCGTCGACACTTCCTTGGTGGTGGCATCGCCGTTCTTCCCTGGGCACAGGGACCGCACGCGTTCGTACAGGATATGCGTGGCATCCACACACGGAATCACTTGGCGATGGAGAAAGGGCCAGCACACGACTCCGCGGCAGATGCGGTCGGGCAGCTGCAGGCGCGGGTACAGAATGGACTGCTGTACTTCCGCGGCGCACGTCGTGAGCATAAACTTGGTGTCTGCAGAACATGTAGGGCTTGGTTGGCCAACGGCGGCGACCGTAAACACCACCAGAACCATCCACTTTACCATTGCAAGCTGCTGCATGTTGCCGTTGTTTAGCTGAGCTAAATGAAATGTGTGGGTATATGGAACTCTTCCCAATTCATTTCTTTATAGATAGAACACGCGACCTATACACACGGAAGAAGCCGCACGACAATCGACATCATGGCTTTTACGTCGTGTTGCCAGGATGAGAGGTTTTGTGTACTTATATATATATTGATAAAGTGGCAATAATGATATTGGAATATCATACGACATATTGTGAATTCGCTATAAACTTGCAAAATTCGCCTGGTTTGTTTGAATCACACCGGAAGTTGTGATTGGTTGAATATACTTGTCCTTTCGAGCCAATCAAATCCACTCTCAAAAATGGATTAGCCAATAGCGTCGATTCGTGATTCGATTCGGCGGCGAGATTCGCATCGAGTCCACAATACGTTCTATAGTACTTTTCGATTTCATCTCCTCGTTTATTATTACGATGTCCAGATGTATATATATATATATATATATATATAACTATGGCGACGGCATCGACCCGTACGGCGTCCTACTCGATGATTGCGACGACGGCGCACTCAGTCCTAGTTCCTTGCACATTACCCGCCACCCTCGATCGGTTTTCTATACATGTAAGACCAATCAGCCCAATTTAATCGTTCGGATTAGTCTGGAAGTCAATGAAGAGGCCAAAATCTTTGATATTTTGGCAATTTCAAACAAATCGGCAAAACATGAAAACTTCTCTGCCGGGAGAGTTCACTATTTTGCCAAATATCGCAGGTTTTTTGGCAAAATATAAAGAAGAGGTTCAAGAGACGATTTTTTCTGACAGTTTGCATCATAACTGAGTAGTCTTTCGAAATCAGTTTGATCCAGACAGTGCAAAATAACCAAAGAATTTGAATTACTTTGAACCAAATTTTCGAAATATTAATTGGCCAATAATAGGGGGCGATCCAGACCCACCCTTCGTATAAATACTGTATATTGCTCTAGTCTATTCCAAGTTGGGAGCCGAACCAAATTGACAGAGCATCATCGACCGACCAATCAAAAGCCACAACACCCATCAATTGGCCAATCAAACTGCTACCCCCATCGAATTCGTGTGTGACTTTTCAATCGTCACAAATGTATTGTGATTTGTTCTACTCAAAACTTCCTCCGGCGGTTGGTTGAATGAACCGCCGAACAATCACCGAACCTTCGAAATTTCATATAATTCGAAGTTGAAGTGGTATCTTTGTGACTGCAATGCAACAATCAATCTATTTAGCCAATCAAAATGCAACCTTCATTCTTTGTAGCCAATCATACCCCTTTGCTGTATTAGTTGGCGATTTCATCCATCCCCCAAAATAGGCAAATTTCACTGAAAAGCATAATACCATACAAAAAAAACAATCAGTACAAACACAATCGCGACCGATGGATATGAAGTCCCAAATCCATCGGTCGCATATATATATAATTCCAATTCTTGTGGAAAGCATCATACTATGTCTGTACTAGAGCCAGCACGCACATACCACTGCCTCCACTTCGTCCAAAGTCAGCGGAATATCTTCCGACTGCCGGACGTTATCCAGCATGTCCATATCCGCTTGGTGTATAAATGCATCGGCGCTGTGCATGGCCACACTGTCGAGCACGAGGACGCCATCCGTGGACACCCACGACGGCCGCGGCATGTCGGCGCTGCTGTGGGGATCGGACGACGAAGATGAATGCAACCTCCGCGATGATGGACACGGCAGATCCCCATCACTATTCTCAGGCTAACCATCTTCAAGTCAATTATTCACGACCCACCAAAACGATATATGTACCGTAATATATATATATATATATATATATATATCTTAAGAAAGGAAAAACAATATAAAAAAACCATCCTGTAGATATATGTATATATTATATATTGAAACGAATTGGACGGCGACGTACTTGGCCAAAAGTAGTCACAAATTGCTCGTGCAACGCCAAAATGTATGGATTCCACCGTCCTCGTGGCGCCACCTATTGAACGTTGATACCGTAGTTCATATCTCATTCTTCCACTATATATATATATGTATATATATATAAAAGGACATACCGATGGTTGCCGTAGCCAAGGGTGCTCGGCAATGTCGGCCGCTCTAGAAGATTCTCGTCATATATATAAATGTATGAATGTACAGTATATATGTATGTCCCTTACGACATCCCCTTGTCTGGGTCGGAATTGAGAAGTCGACCAACGAGATCTTTGGCCGCCCGACTGACGTGGCAAAACTCTCGTGGAAACGACAACGTCGATGCCTCCACGTCTGGGAATTGGGCAAACAGCATCACATATCTACCGCAACAGATATATTGGCTTACTTCACACGAGCATTGGAGTCATAATACATCGAACCACACAACCATATCTCAAATCTATCTATTATACCGTATGGGTTTCGAAATTGTCTGTAAAATGTGATAAAAAAATGGTGGTCGGAGTTCTTTCCAATGGGCTCGGATTGGCCGTTTCTACTGTTTTTCGACTTGTTTGATTGGCTAGAACGAAAGAAAAATGGAGCATTTTGACCAATACAAAGAAAGCGATATGGACTACCAAATCGTTTGATATTAATAATACCATATAGTCATTTGAGTACAACTCGATATGAAAATAATAAATAAATAGGTACTGACTGATCCGTAAGGTATATATATATATATATATATATATATATGCATAAGGTACAATTACCAAGGTTATCTATCTAGAATCAAGACCATTTTATATGGACCATATGTATCCGTGAAATAACTTACAGACAAACACCAAGAGCCCACAAATCTACTTGGACAGCATGTTGAAACGAAGGCAGCAGCATTGGGTGACTATGGCGGAGTGCCGGCGGAAGGAATCGTGGGTCGCGGGATCTTTGTTGATTCAGCGCTACAGAGTGCAATATTTTAAATTCCATAGGAAGATTGAGAAATGGGATACGGGTACGCATACATTGTTCAAATATGGATGGCGGGCCCGCACATCCAAAATCCACGAGCATGGCCTACCATAGATTGTATATGACGAACGACAAAGAAAAGACGGTATTGTGTTTCTACTAGTAGTACAATCAATTTAAAATGTTGCTCAAATTGTTTTTAACCAATCAGAATTGAATGTGAAGGTTATTCAAATTTGATTGGACTAAAATATTTCCATGTGGAAATAGCTTCGATGCTTCTTAAAATCCGTCGGCCCCTGTAGTACCTTGGACGAGCCGTCGATTTCACTGTACAGAATGTGTTCGGGGCGGACATCGCCGTGAATCCACCCCAGAGCATGGAGATACATCAATCCTTGGACGATGTCTGCAAAGGCACGGCTGAGCTCAGCTTCCTAAGTGGGGACTTAGCGTGGTGATTGGATACACATGACACATGCCGACAGGACAAAGACGGACGCATGGGGCTCGAGGACGCGTCGAAGTACTTGCCCGCCTTGCGCCAATTCAAACGCGATCTCTACCTACGCCGCCACTGCATCAGAAGAATGCAAAGATAGAGACAAGAGTGTACTGTGTTGGACGACTCGTACACGTCATACAGCCGCACGAGGTTGGGGTGGTTCAACTTGGTCAAGACCTGGATCTCTCGACGCATGTGTCTGCGCTGCTTGGAGTCGATGAGGAACGAGCGAGGAAGGACCTTTAGTGCCACGACATCGCCCGTGTCGCGGTGCGTGGCGCGATACACCTGGTGGCCATCGGTCCCTGCTGCGGACGTTGAAACAGTCGAGATCGATGGAAGAGGGTGGGTGGGGATTGTACCTTCTCGCGCACTGATCAACTCGGACAGCTCGTAGATAGACGTCGCGTTCTCCTTGCAACTGATGGATGCACAGCAACTCCACGCAGCGCAAGGGCCATACCACCACACCATCGGGTCGTCCGCCCCAACAAGCCCGACGTTGGTGTTGACGCCAACCTACATTCTGAAACTCCAGCTGCCATTTCCGGATAAAACAGCTTGTCCGGATGCTATGGCAGTCAGAGGTTCAATCAACAAAAACAAATATATCGAAATACTATGACGAGTACATAATTAAGCATAATGAAACCAAGTGTTCGATCACGAATGTGAATTTAAATGCAGTCGCAAAAGCCAACATCAATAAAAATACGGAAACATATTCATGCAAATCATCGCAAACCTGACCATGATTGATCACTTTTCCAATTGCCACCACCAGATCACAGGGTTCAAGCATGGACTCGACAGGTCAAGGCGGCGACTCGCCTAGCTGCAAGTCGCAGCCGGCGGCGAGTCTGTCTGCGACACCGTCTCGGCCTTCTCAGAACCTCGAAACCGAGCCCTTGCTTGCACCTTGTGACACCGTGTACATCACGCTCGACAGCAAAGAGTACCCGTCACCGCAAGCGCCGATAAACGACGACCCATGTGACCAAGTGCCCACGTTACGGAGCAAGGTGTTGCAATTTGTAGACTCGAACGCGTTCAGTCGGTGGATTGTGTCGCAGTGGAACGAAACGTTTGCGTTCGAGTCTCTCTGCGTCCGCACGACATTTCGAAACGGAGGAGTCCCGTCATACTCGTGGCAGGGCCTCCCGCTCATTTACGCGGCCATACTTGTGGGTACGATCAACCAACCAATCTCCGTTCATTCCTCCTTCGTTCTTAAAGTCATGTAGGTATTGCCGTTGCCGTGGTCGCGGACGGTCTGACATACAAAATCGACGACGACGACGACGATGACGATGATGACAACAACAAGCGCAAGTGGCAGCGGCGCCCGTCCTCCACGGACATTTCCGACGCGATCCATCAGTACACATGGTACCATGTGCTGGTCGCGGTGCTGGTCTTCAATGCTTGCTACGCATTGGCGGCGTACCGCGAGAACCTCCAGGGGTGGCGGCGCCATCTCCAGATGACCAAGGCCATGTGCGTCGTGTCTGCGCAGGTGCTGTTCTTTCTCAAAATGTTTGGCGCGTTCCATGGATCGTGGCTATGGGTGGCCGCGCCCGTGGTGCCGTGGACGGCGCTACTGGCGCTGCGGCTGCAGTGGCAGACGCTGGTTGGGCTCACTGCTATCCAAGCCGCGTACAAACTGTCCAGTGAGAACACTGCAGAGACGGACCAGTGGTCGTGGGCACTCGTGTTCGTTCCCATCTGGGTGCTCCTGGTCTTGATTGCGAGTTTGGTACGATTGGATGTGTGTGTGGTAATTTTTATATTGTCGTTTTCCCCAAAATGTGGCTGACTTTTGGGCTGATTCACCAAATCAATCTGTCGATTGATTCTTTGACGTTTGTATGTAAAAATCGTCCAGTGTCACACTAATTCAATGTTGAAATGGTCCAAAAGTGGATCATTTGATTGGCCCCTTGATTCGTGTTCTGGGTTTTGATTGGCCGATCATCGATTGTCTGAATTCGATTTGGTGCTCTCATTCCAATTTCGTATATAATCAACTTGATTGGTTTGGGATGTATTCGTTTCGAACGGCCGACAGAACCGACAGCCCCATGCTTGCTTGTCTGTGACAGAGTACATGTGTGGGTCCGTAGTGGCTGCTACTGCGCCGATCGTCGTATGGCGTCGTGTACTATTGGCTGCCCCAAGTGTTTGGTTTCTTCTTTGTGGCCGTGCCGTGGGTCATCAAGATGCAAGTGTACCCGGAAGTGGATGCATATGCCACCAAGAATCCGTCGGCTAATGCCACCGCCGGGGGACCTGGCCAACCTGTGATTGTCCTCGACGATGACGACGACGATCCGTTTGCATTTCGATACTGGTGGCTCTTGCTGGTGTGGGCTGTGCCTGTTGTGTTTTTTGCGTTTCATTTGGTCATTACGGTACGATCCGACTGTATAAAAGTGTCGTGTATCCCTTTGAATGTATACTTACTTGTTTTCCCGATTCTCGTTCACGTGTAGGCCTTGTACAAAACGTTTGCGGCACGGCAGCAACACATCTAACTCCCCATCATATTAACGAGTTTATACATATACTGTACTAACTAGTATCTTGTAAGAAGAAGCCAAACTGTACGTACATTGCAGAACCGGGGTGTTGTAAACCATATCTCAGATACGAGTGTTTAGTTGGCACGTTAACTACTAATATTACTATTCTGCAGTGGTTCGTACTTCAAAGTCGGGTGGCTTCCTACTGCCAAGTCGCGTGAAGCCGTCGCTTGCTAAGTACTATTGTGATTTGTTCTACTCAAAATTTCACCACCGCTGAACAATCGCCAGACCTTCGAAATTTCATATGTATATATATCAACGGGATAGCAATACGTAATCTCCATGTGTGTGTGTGTAGTACACAGAGAGTAGTACATCTTCACAATGCATCAATGGAATAGGTAGCATCATCACTATGAGCAACGTAATCCTGTGTACGTACATCGTTGGGCAAGTTGACGTTGATGTCTGGATGCTCGAGCAGTTGGCGGACCACGGCTACTTGGCCCTTTTCTGCCGCCTTGTACAGCGCAGTTTCCTTGTACTAGCATATCATGAGTATTTTGAAGAGTATCTTTGGGAATCAATCAACCTTTTTAGCCAATCCGATTGCAACCTGCATGCTTTGTAGCCAATCATACTCCTTTGCTCGATTAGTTTGGCGATTTCATCAATCCCCCAAAATAGGCAAATTTGACTGTAAAGCACCACACAACTTCAATGGAAAAGTTCTCGAGGGGGGTGACTGTACTGCAGTGTCTTTCCTTTAGATTTGGCAAGCCAATCATCTCAAAAGCTCTCCTTGTTACTGAACATATCTCATGAGCAAAACATATCCACAGCATGCCCCCAACTGTACTACAACTCAACTATAACAGCTTACATTGTAATCTATGCTGCCACCTCAAAGCAAGCAATACAAGTTTCAGGGTTTGATTACAACACAACGCATTAACTATGAAAATGTAAACCCGAATTTTGACGTTTTAATCGATGATAACCTTGGCTTGGTCCTTGTTTCGGGCATCAAGCAAGACGAGAAGTTTCTCCAATCTGTCGTGAGTCCCTTCGTCGAACACTTCATCCCCCGACAGCTTGGCTACAACATCCGCATTGAGTAGCTCCAGTCCGTTGCGTCGCTGCTGAGAGCCAACGCTGGCCTTGGCGTTGTTCACTTTAACCTTGACCAACTTTTCCTTGACCGACTGGGCTGTAGCAACGCTCTTATCGCCCAATATGGTGAGTGGGACCTGATCGTCCGAGTTTTCCCACAAGTACGGCACGACAACGGCCCCATCTTGATCGACTTGGGCAATGTCCACAACGTCAGCAGCGCCATCGTTGTGTTGCTTCTTGGCTAGAAGGAGGTGCAGCAGCTTATCCTTGGCCGGTTGGCCTTCGTGTAGACCCTTCACGTTGTGTTTCGCCTTGAGCAGCTCCAATTCTTTGGCAAACACCGCGTGGGTATCGTCGTAGGAATCAGCAGAGATCACAAGGTACGGCACGGCGATACTGTCGTGAGATTGCTTTTTGGCCTGCTGCAGCTCCAGTAGCTTGACATGGGACGGGGGCCCATTGAGTGTATCAACGCTCTTGGCGTTGCTTTTCGCTTGGAGAAGCTGCTCCACTTCCCTCTCCAATGCTGCACCCTGGAGGGTTGGCTTATCTTCCCAAGTTCCAGCCGAGCCAACAAGGTAGGGCACCCCGACGGCGGTAGCATCAGGGGCACCAGCTCGAAGGTACGGCACCGTGGTGGTAGCAGCGTTCTGCCTAGCCAATCGGTCTAGCTCGGCGGGCAACTCGGGATGTTGGGGGGGCGCTTCGTTGCTGAGGTCGGGACGACCCAAGGCGGAGGCACCCACAGAGGCGTTCGAGGTCGACGCGTTCGGGTTATACAGAGCCAGGGCGGCCACAGTACCCACCACGGCCATGGACGCAATGCTAAATACGATTCTCTTATAATTTTGGAAGGCGCGGTCCCCGGGCTGCTCGTAGGTCGGCGTGGGCATCGATTCATCGGGAAGGTGGGGGGTTTCGGGCAAGTTCAACTGACGAGCCATCGCACGAGGTGTCGGCTTGGTAGCAAGGTTAAACATGCTCTGAACCTGACAAATTCAAAAATGGCAGCGCAATGGTAGTACTGTACATCGGATCGGCTGCAAAGTGTCCGAAACTCTGTATTCATGGAATTGCACAATCCTCAATCAAAACCTATCTGAGTTATCAGACACAGAGTTTCGGGGTTTCGTACAGTACTCTTGTCCTGCAACCAGGATATCCCTTGAATCCCCATTTTATATTCAAGCTAAGGTTAACAGTTGAAAACCACCAATTGGAGTTGAATGGCATACGTTAGGGGGGGTTCCGGGAAGGCATTTCTTATACTATCAAAGAAACGTTATCCTGTATTTTTGTGGTGCCAGGCAGAAGAATGTGATCCTTTTTCTGGCGAATTTCTCGCCGAGTTGATTCAATGTGTAATGACTGACCTGTGAACATGGGAAGTTGCCTTGAATGAGGTTGGTAGAATATGTGCATTGATTTGGTATGTTCCCCCTAACGCTACCTCACTGCAGAATTAGCAGAGTATTCGCAACGATCAAGTGGGCTTAGCCTGTAGAAAATGCAGTGAATGTGTCAGCCATTCATCCATATCCCAGCTGGAATCATAGATGACTGATAACTCTGTGGGTAGGAAGATTCGCAACTCAAACATACCACGCGGTGACACGAAAGTAGTAAAATGCCGAAAGTTTGACAACAATTGGACTAAGATTTCGGACCACAATTATCAATTTTATTAATTCATCTTGAAATTCGAAAATGGGTATTTTTAGCAATTTTCTGCAAATCCCGAAAACTCTCGAATGAATATCAAGGGGTTGCTCCTATCGGCGCCGTTATGAAATGAGCTACATGCGACGCCCGTGCCAATTGCGGGACAAGGGGGGCTAGGTACACTGGAAGGGGGAGGCGAGCTCGCATGTCTCGACAGCGCAAATCTCTATGGGTAGTTAGCCACTTCTAGACGCATTGGTTGTCTGATCCCATCACGCACGGCAGCCACCTTCGCTTGGGTCCGCTAGAACCGTTGCCACTGCCATTTCGCTATAGGCTGCTTCCTTTTGTGGCACAATCAGGCCGATGCCACCTCCTCTAGCACCAGGTGTACGACACTTTCGCGCAGGAACTGCGGGACACCATTACATGCCTCACCGTGTATAGTACTTCACCCCAACCCACCCGTCCTCGCACAATAAACCCACTTTCTACCGACTGTCAGTGTGGGGCTTACACGTCCCGCCCCACTTCAATCACCAAACTTGAGACTAAGTTTTTCACCAACCATCGACTATTTTACAATTTGACAAAGAACGTTTGTTTGTTACTTTGTCAAAAGCATATGATGAAGTCAATTGTTAAAAACACACGCATTCGCAAACATCTCACCACTTGTACAAGGATCGCCTGACATCTGGTACTGTCTGTCATTGATCAAGGTATGAGTGCATTTGGAAATCACTCGATCATTTCCGATCAGACAACATTTCGTTCGTTGAATATTGAGCAGTCTAGCGAAGTGATTCGTCATCGCATCTAAACTCCTTAAAGAGAATACTTCTCAAAACTGATAGATTACAACTTCAATAATGCGATAAAGGCCGCCAAGTCCATCAAAATCGTTGCTAATGTTGGCGCGCAAACACGTCAGAGAGGCTCCACGAGCCATTCATTTAAAAAAATTCTCACCTCGACGGGCCAGCGCTTCGCAAACTTTCCGGCACCGCTCTACGCTGTGGACGTGACCTTCCAAAAGACCAATGCACCGGCGGGGACGTTCAGCGATAAGAAGATGTACTACAGCAAGAAGCACGGTCATTATGGGCTGAAGGTCGAAGCGAGCGTCGTACCCACTGGATTTGCCCTCAACGTCACGGCAGCTGTGTCCGGGAGCGTCGCCGACATCAGCATCTTCGAGGCCAACGAGGCCTTCCACGCGGACAAGATGCGCAAGACCGATGCCGAACGCGACACGCCCGATGCCGGCCCTATGCTCGACGAGTACCCCAATGACCGGGCCATTTTGGCTAACAAGGGGTTCCAAGGACTCCACCGTCGCATGCGTGCCATCACCCCAGCGAAACGGCCCCCTGGCGGCTTGCTCACTATGAGCGACATGGAGTACAACGACAACATTGCTACAGACCGCGTGATCGTTGAGAACTACTTTGGTCGTTTGAAGACGCTCTGGGCGATCGTAAACGAGTCCTACAAGTGGAAGCGAGAGAACTACGATCTTTACCTTGAAACCTGTGTTGCGTTGACTAATTGTCACATTCGTTTTTCTCCTTTGCGGGTCGACGACAGCCATGAACGCAACCGGTATTTGAACGCCCTCATGAAGAAAGCCAAGCGTGCCGTTGCAGTTAAAAAACATCGCGAGAAGCGCAAGTTGCGTTTGGGCACGTTTTTGCCGTGTGGTGAAAATGCCTACTTCGATTTGGACACTGAATTATACCCAAGTGGTGACGATAGTGCAATTTTTGAATCGAAAGCGTTCGATCAACAACTTTTTACCAAGTCTTTCACACTTACCAAAGTGCTTTACGATATCACCTCACACAATGGAAACCACTTGGAGCGATTGGAAATGACTGCGTCAGTTACGAAATAGCCAATCACAATGTTTCATACGACACAATTTCGGAAGTCACTTCGTCAATTCCGAATGTGCTGTGCACTGTGTGAGTGACCCAATAATTGGTTGAGTGGTCCTTTTCCGTACGGAGGTCATACGTAGTACTAGTGTAGTACAGTACTTTGAAGCACTTTTAAAGCACAGAGTCGTATCTAGGAATGCGGAATACAAGTACTTCGAAGTACTACGCAGTAACTGACACTGTGATCCATTCGATGAAAGAATCCTACGTACCACACGTGTACTACCGGCAGTACCAGTATCAGAAGCAATAAATATATTTACCCGAGCTAGTGGTTGCTGCTAAAAGTGGTCGAAAGTAACACGTGGTGTTCATATAGGGAGGGAGGGAATTGTATGGACAGTGGTATTTTGAGTTCGACCATATACAATTATCTGGTCCGTCCTGTACCCCCCGGATCTGGTTTTAGAATTTGGAACATTTCGATACTTTTCAGATTTCTTAAATTGTACGCGGAGTCATACCGGTATTGAACTAATTTACAGTACGAAATTCTGGCGCCTTTGATTGGCTAACAGTAAAAATATAAACCATACAATACTACTCCGGAGTAATATTAATAACAACGCAAGGTCCTTTATTATTGTGCTTTTTTCGTATAATTTGCCCTGTTGTTTACTGTTAAGACTAAACTGCGTTAACAGACCGGTCGCTTAAAATGAAGTACAACGTAAGCCCGATTGAAGTTAAAACAACGCATCACCATAACTGCTTGTTTAAGGGAACTTGCTTATATTAGCGACAGCAATACAGTACTACGTCGTAGGTCGAAAGCGACGCGGCCGTACTACTGTAGGACACGACTTGGTGGCGAAGCGAACCCCGAAACTCCGAAACCCCTTGATCAGAAAGTACGTACCGGAATTTCCTCCGGATAAATTCCCTCAGTTTTTTGTGTTTTCGTTTCGGTTTTTTGCGCTGAGCCGACTCGCATCTTTTCCACGGAGTCAGATTTCAATTTTCTATGTCCGCGCAGACAACTCCAACAGCTTATGGCGCCACCGAGCCTCTTGTCGGTGGCCCCAATGGCGTACCACTAGCTCATGAACTCCAATGGAAGGCCGGCGTGTTTGGCTGCTTCACCGACTGCTGGCCCAACTGCGCCATGGCGTTCTTCTGTCCATGCGTGTCACTTGCCCAAACGCTTCACCGAGTCGGCGTGTATTCGTACACGGTGGGCCTCCTGGTGTTCGGCGTCCTGTATGCGTTGATGGGCATTTCCGATTATATCCAATTCACTCGCAACGTCGATGACAACGACGACATGTGGGGACCGGCCGACTCCTGGGCCACGGTGTACATATTGTTGGGAGCTGTGAACGTGATTCTGGTCATGCGCGTCCGTGCCGCGGTGCGAGATCTGCAACACATTCAAGGCGGTTCAGTCTGCGAAGACTTTTGGTGTGTGTTGTGCTGCCAGTGCTGCATCATTGCGCAACTGGCGACCGAAGTGCATGCATACGACAAGGGCGAGTGCCAATTTGGCCCGAAGGACTCGCTGCCAGGCTACGTTGTGTAGCACCAGCATATTTCGATTTTCATGAATGTTCGCTTTGCTACTAGAATCATTCGATGAAGTTGGTTTTGCATAGTCATCGTACAGCATGCTCACACGTGAAGTGTGCGAAACGTAAGGATCTACATGTAATAGAAGATACTATTTAGCCCTTAAGTGCACCCAAAACAGTTCCCTGCACCGACGTTGCGTGGCTTTTCACCATATTCCTGATAAGAACAGAGATACATACTGTATTATGCATGCATTAACGATATCGTTCGAGCTTCGTGTCGAAGACACTAACTACATCGCCGTATGTGTGCCAGCTCGATCAACTCCGTGGCCTTTGTGACGGCTTGCCAATCACACTGGTCCACTTGATTGATCAACTAACTCCCTCAGCTCCGCTTTAAGCCGTTCGACTTGAACGTTCACCTGATGAAGCATGTTGTTTGCTGCAATGATCTCACTTGACTTCTCTTGAGACTTAAGTACTGTACGGAAGAGTGCAGCTACTAGTGCAACAATGTATCCGACTTCCAAGATGACCTCTTTGAGTACAGTTGTAGATCATGGTCCATGATTCACAGCTGTTCATCCATGTCATTCATGCTTGCCTCGCTGATGTTTTGCTCAAATGCCACCAGTATGCGAAGTTATTTATTTCGTACTCTACTGGAATCAAATTTTGGTGCCGGTTGGTTTCATTCACAGTCAAATGACTTACTACTGTACTGTCTTGACATCCCATGCTTCGCATCGCGGCATATTCTACCTTGAGGTGCACCCCAACTCGAATTTATAAGACTTCTTCGTGGGAGGTGGTCTGTGCATTCTAAACGCCCATCACCTCATCAATACACCCCTCGCGCTGTTCGGGCAAATGATACTTTGTATGAAAGGGAATTGCATGAATTTTCGCAAAAGATTGGTTTATAATCAGCGCTTAAAGCAAGCTTCGTGTCGAAGACACTAACTACATCGCCGTATGTGTGCCAGCTCGATCAACTCCGTGGCCTTTGTGACGGCTTGCCAATCACACTGGTCCACTTGATTGATCAACTAACTCCCTCAGCTCCGCTTTAAGCCGTTCGACTTGAACGTTCACCTGATGAAGCATGTTGTTTGCTGCAATGATCTCACTTGACTTCTCTTGAGACTTAAGTACTGTACGGAAGAGTGCAGCTACTAGTGCAACAATGTATCCGACTTCCAAGATGACCTCTTTGAGTACAGTTGTAGATCATGGTCCATGATTCACAGCTGTTCATCCATGTCATTCATGCTTGCCTCGCTGATGTTTTGCTCAAATGCCACCAGTATGCGAAGTTATTTATTTCGTACTCTACTGGAATCAAATTTTGGTGCCGGTTGGTTTCATTCACAGTCAAATGACTTACTACTGTACTGTCTTGACATCCCATGCTTCGCATCGCGGCATATTCTACCTTGAGGTGCACCCCAACTCGAATTTATAAGACTTCTTCGTGGGAGGTGGTCTGTGCATTCTAAACGCCCATCACCTCATCAATACAACCCTCGCTCAATTTGGGCAAATGATACTTTGTATGAAAGGGAATTGCATGAATTTTCGCAAAAGATTGGTTTATAATCAGCGCTTAAAGCAATTGTAAGCCAATGCAATATCATAAATGTTCGATATTGATAGAAATTGAAGAATTACAGCCAATGAAATGCAAATGTTACTGCCGACATTTTAAAATTCGTATAAGAGGAAGTGAACAAGAGGTCTAATTAATAGTACTAACTACTACGGTAGTACTAACTTACTTTACTACTTTACTATTAATACAGTAGTACTAACTACTACGGTAGTACCAACTTACTTTACTAACGGTACCTACATACAGTATACTAGTAGCCTATATACTTCATATATTGAAGTATTACTACGTAGTACTTCAGTATATGAAGTATATAGGCTGGAGCACGCAAAGATCCAATTTGAAAGTTCACAATAAGGATTAGTTTAAAACTAAACATCTACAAAACATGACAGCTTACAGAAACTTCGACTTCGAAGTACACTCGACGACCGACACACACACTGGTTCACACTATGGGCGGGACCGCTTGAACTCGACCACGGCTTCGAGGATGCGAATGTCCGCCATGGACAAGTTGTACCAGCGATGGGACATGCACTGCAGCTTCCGCATTGACCGATGTAGCACCGCTTCCAAATGGCCGCAGATCGCGCGCTCCATTTTCTGGCGCAGGCCGACATAGTCAAACTGGATTCGCATCACCTTGTATACAGTCATGACGGGGACTTGCTTGAGTTCCCAGCCGTCCGATAGAGGGCCGCGGCCGCTCTTGGTGCATGTGTACGTGCTGGGGTCCCATTGGTGGCTCGCCGCGTGTTGGTTCAACGGGCGATGGATGTGCAGGACTTGCACCGATCGTCGTCGCAGATCGTCCTTTGACAACCCCAGCGCATTTTCGTGCTCGCAGTAGCCAGGCAGGTGGACGGATTCACATGTGACAACGAATTTCGACTTCGACAAGAGCGACGACGCACTGGTCAAGTATGAGATGCTGGTCGGGTACGAGTTCCACGTCTCTTCGATCAACGTCATGTGTCCTTGGGGCAACACCACTGACAGGAGAGTGGGAACGTCGTCGAATGTGTAGCACTTCAAAGTGTACTGGCCGTGGGTTCGAGGAATCGGCTGCCCCGACACCGCCGAGACCTTCCCGAGGTGTCCGTTGCGGTTGTCGTACGGTTCGTTCTTGATAACTTGCACTGTGTCAGCCATGGTCATGTACAGCTCAGCGATCTGAAACTCCTCGACATTCATATGCAGCGGGATACGGAACTCGTGGAGAAGCATGATGGTTGTTGCGGCGATCGAAGAATTGGATTGTGGTCGTCGTGTGATGACCAACAGGACATGCCGTTATAGTTATGCGACACGACGTCAATATCAGATCCGATCCCATGAAATCATTTTATTGGGAGGATTTGGATGGGAGGGTTGGAATGTATGTAATACCTATTGTAATATATTCTAGTTGAACTATGAGTGATGGTTAAACAGGGAATATCCTACATCACCAAAACTTCAACCAATACACTGAGACATGTGGGGAATTCTTCCCTAGATGCATCCAAGTGGCCATTGGCAACGGATATGAATACAGTGAATTGATTGGCTGAATGTTTGCGACTTAAATGATCGCTGGTGTTTGATTGGTGCTTTGTAGTTGAACCACCCTATCTTCTGTCGCAAACCTTGATCGTTGAGATTCCAAGCTTTAGCAAGGAGCAAGTGCGCTGTACTTGACCCACGGGAAAATGCGCCCTGAAGTACGTGATGGCTACAAAGCCGTGGCATTCAATGCAGCATTGCTCATCTCTGCACTGCAAATCACCGGCCATTGTTAACAGATCGCCAACGCACCAACCTTGGTCGCAGACCCCCCCATGAGCTTTGGTTGAATCTACACTCAAAACACGACGATAGGGTTTGCCATGAAGGTGAGTGCGTTGTACACCATCTTTGGACGTTAAACTGGAGTACAGTATCAGTACGGTATGTACAAGTACTCCGAATACAGTACAGTACTTAGCTACAGTACTGTACTGTTAATAGTACTTCGAAATAGTACTACTGTACTAGTAGTAGTACATATTGTGATTTTCTTTCAAATTTCCGACCTCACTGCTCCCTCGCTGCTGCGACATTTGATTGGCTCGGACATGGATAATGGATAGAAACATTTAGCCAATCACCAAAACGAAATTTCTGACCGACCAATCAATTCTCGCGGCGAGGCTTCGGCTACCATAATCCGCTTGTTGTTGATATTATCCGTACAAGGCCACTAGTGCCGAAGTGCAACTTGACTTGATATTGAAAGATACAGTACTCCGCATATTGACACTCGGACAACGGTATATAACGTATTATATACCTACCAGGAGTACAGTACACTGGCTTCTGCACAGTGTCAACTCTTCAGATGGATGGGGTTAAAACTGGTACCCAGCCAGCGTGTCCTTGGGGCCAAACGTGCACTCGTGAGGGGTGTACGCTTCGGCATGTGTGGCCATTTGAGCCATCACACAGCATGAGCAAAAGAACGAGCAGCAGCAGTCGTCGCAGTCCGAGCCTGGGATTTGGAACGTGATGCGGAAGCGTTTGCGGATGACCATGATGAGCACAATCGACAGAATTTGCACGCAAAGCGAGATCCACGACCAAATGGTCGACGTGGTCGAGTACACGACCCACCCCGACCGGTTGTATACGACCGTCGAGCTCATGGACGAGGACTGGAGGATCGACAGCACCGAGGTCGCGACGTAGAGCGCGCCGAACACGAGCAACGCGTTGGTAAACGTGTACATGCCGATGCGGTGGACGGTTTGGGCTAGGGATACACAAGGGCAGCACGACGCCATCAAGCAGTTGGGAACACAGTCAGTGAAGCAGCCGAAGACGTCGGCCTTCCACCGACCCACGACCAACCCGTTGTGGTCCACACCTGGATGCATCGGCACCGTGGACGGATCAACAGGCACGGCTGTCGGCACAGACTCAACCATGTTCTCAGCCATGTAATCGGCCTTGTTCACAGGCGACGCTGCTTTGTTCCTGGGTGATGGCGAGCTCATGGGAAGATGATTAGTGAGGGTCGCCAAAACTGTAACGTAAACGAACATTTGAGTATGGAAATACATGATATTTTTTTAATAATGTGCACAAGTTTGGACTGGATTGTATGATGTTTGTAGAATGGCTTTTAAAATTTGATGAGAAGTTATTATAATAGAACGATCCCACGGCACACTAATTTGGTCAAATAACATCACGAGTTATTCCGAAACTTTACTTGACTATCGCATTCTACCTGTATTTTATTATATATATTAATATGTGTTGTTACAGTTTTCATTTTTTCATTATAATGAAGCACTTATTTACACTTATGAGCTCTATCTGATTTGACCATATTAAATAGTTGTGTATTGATATTGATATTACGCTGTAAAGTTAACATAAGATCTCTCAGCGGGCACTTAATGGCCTCGGCCACGTACTAGCTGCTTTTGGAGCTAGCGGATATTAACCCGCTCGGATGGGAGTGTAACTGTTAGAACTCAAGCTTACAATATACTTGTATAGTGTTATGCGAGCATTTCATGCGACATATGAAGGGTATTTCGACCACTACTCGAAGAGAAAACGTGAATTCAATGCCGGAATCGAGGTCACTGAAAAAAACTACGTAACGTAGAAAACCAATTTAAGAATACTTTTTCCGAGACGCTGCCGTGCAGGGAACGAAGCTCAGCATGGATGCATCAGATTTCAAACTCCGAAAAGTGCTGGATGAGGCCAAAGCGGAGTTGATTCCTTGGACATTCAAATAATCGTGCTTCAAAAGTCTATTTGACAGGCATAAATATCATTTTCGAAGCAAATGTACTCAAAACATGAGAACCAGTTAATGGTGCACACTATTATCTTAATATTTGTATACCCATTTGCATATTTTGAGTGTGGTTAGGTTATGTAATTTCAGAAGTTAAATATTAACTTTAGACAGGTAATGCAATTATACAGTTTTGAGAAACAAAACAAAACAAGTCAGGCGCCAAAATTCACTTCGTGTATTAGATTAAGGAGGTTATCTCCCAGTATTTTGACTACATTTGATTGGCTGATTCAAGTACACCATTAAATGGTTCGAGCACCTTAAATTGGTTTTCTACGTTAAACATAATGAATTTCATATTTCTTTCCAAGAATCTCAAATACAAGCACAAAACACATCGCGAAGTGATATGATTGGGCCGATTGTATTCAAAATTTTACTTGTCCGACATCCGCGAAGGAAGTCGCGGACTAACTGTGAAATGGTGAATATAACGTTAGTACGTCTAATTTCACGCTGCCTTAATCGACGAAGACATATCGTAAAATGCCAATTTATGATATGCAACTCTCATTTGATTTCGGAAAATGGGCATATCTCCGTCCTGCTTCATAATTTTCGAATTATAACAAGTGAGGGAATTTTAAGACTTTGTCGACAATCGTGAGGATAATCCTCACTCAGCACGCCCGGATACAAAGTGCCGTTAATTTACATTGTTAATCAAGTTCACAGTAAGCGTAACTTAAAGTGCCAATTTAGGTCGTACGAAAATGCACCAATAATAGATCGTCATTTGAATATGCACCAATCATACAGTGAACCTCTGAATTTCTATTCACAATTACATACAAAAAGGAAGGTTAAAATATACGACTTAATTTGGCACTCGAAATTATAGAGGTTCCGCGTCTATAACGGTTTCAAACGACTCTTTATTACAGTATGGGTTGTTCACCAGGGAATTCTCTACCTTTAGGACTAGTTAAGCGAAAATATCCTCACGCCATGGGAAAGCGGGTTTCGAGGACGTGGTCGACAAAAACTTTACTGACAGTTTGAGTACTGACTGTACAGTACTAGGATGTTTTTAGGTAACTTATGATGAGCCCTTGGAAACCGTTTTACACGCGGAACCTCTATAATTTTGAATGACAATTTAAATGTAAGTCGTATATTTATTAGCCTTCCCTTTTGTAAATCGTTGTGAATAGAAATTGAGGGTTCACTCCACGATTACTATTGAGAGGTTCACTCCACGATTACTATTTTGTATGATTGGTGCATTTTCTTTCAAATGACTACAGTAATTGGCACCTTTACAATAATGATTCCCTGTTGGTCGCAAAACGAAGGATACATGTATCGCTATTTTTACATTAACAGTACTCCTTACACCATTTTTCGTTTAAGTTCAGGTTATTTCTGGTATATTTCGTCCAACGCACAATTGATTCACGCCATGTGCGTTTTGTTCGCCAAGCATTCAATATATTTCGTCCAGAACCAAATTCGTTTCATTATATTTCGACTGATCTCCGGTGTATGTCACCCCACAGCCGGTATATTTCACAACATTGTTCAATATATTTCAAATGATGTTCCATCTATGTCGATAAATCGACGCAGTAATCGATGGAACGAAGTAGCCAATGAAATTTTCGAAAAAAAGACTTTCGATCAATCAAATTACAGGCGTATCCTGTGCATCGCCAAGCTTTCCTTTTCACAAAGAGTTCAACGTTGTAGCGGACAGGAGTCACAGTAAGTATATTTAGTTCAACAAAAATGACGCTCGACGATTTCAGGTGGATTTGACGTCGTTCGTCGAATCTACCGAAAATATCAATTTTAGCTCGAAAGCACAATCCTTCATATCTATTCTGCAGTACTAGGTATGATTTAGACAAGTATCCACCACCTGCGATTTACTTCGAAAATCGAAATAGATGGAATATCTTTTGAAATATATTGAACAACATGTGAAATATACCACGTGGGGGGTGACATATACCGGACATTAGTCGAAAATATAATCCAACAAAGTAGGGTCTGGACGAAATATATCGATTGTTCGGCGAACATAACGCACATGGCGTGAATAGTTGTGCGTCGGACGAAATATACCGGAAATAACCTGACAAAACTTAAACGAAAAATGGTGTAGTAAGTCCTAGCGGGTAATAACACAATAGTACCGACAACGTCAGCATGATTTCGACCCAACGCTTGAGTTATTTTATTCCTGGATTTTGATTTATTCGAATCGGTAGCCTGGCAACGTGTCTTTGGGGCTGAACGTGCATTCGCTGGGGGTGTACGATTCGGTCTGGGTGGCCATTTGGGCAAGCACGCAGCATGAGCAGAAGAACGAGCACGCACAGTCTTCCACGTCAGACCCAGGGATTTGGAACGCAGTGCGGATGCGCCGACGAACGACCATGACCATCACGAACGCCACCAGTTGAAGCGCTAGGCCAATCCACGACCACAGAATCGACGAGGACGACGTCTGGATGAAGGAAAGGACGACGTGTGCGGCGTAGAGGGCGGCGAACACGATCAACACGTTGTTGAACGTATACATGCCGACACGGTGCAACGTCTGCGCGAGGGACACGCAGGGGCAGAACGTCGGCAGCAAGCAGTTGGGCACGACTTGGTTGAAACATGCGAAAATGTCGGCCTTCCAGCGGCCTACCACGAGCCCGTTGTGGTCGACCCCAAGGTCGGGTTGCATGGCGACATCGGCGGCGTCGATGGCGACGGCCACGGGGGCAGTCTCGGCATTCGTGTCAGCCACGTAGTCAGCCTTGTTTGACGGGGAGGCGACTTGGTCCTTGGGAGTGGTGGAGCTCATGATGGAGATGATTTGAAAGTGACTGCCCTTCACTGGTCGAGAAACGGTTGATAGTGCTAGGTGCTGCTTGGTGTAACTTGCAACGTAGGCATAAGACACGCGATAGATGTTAGATTCATTCAGGAGGGACGACATGACATACAAAACGGAAGATTAGAGTTTCGACGCATTGCTACGGTATTGACTGTGTGAGAAATGAAACTTGCCTCGAGCCATAGAGATTATTTGTGCTTCCTTCCAAAGTACATATAATGTCAAACAGAACCTTGACTTTACCACTGACCATGTATTACATAGTAACTTTTAGTAATTATGTAGTTTTTGGTGATATTATTCTCTCTAGGAGGTGTGCTTGATAATTCTCATGATAATAGTGGTCGTTGGTTACACTTACCTCCCTCCCCAAATTGTAAAGACGCCCTAATTGGACATAACAGTGTGCCATACTCAAATCAAAGTAAAATCGGCGTTCACAATGCATCGACAAATGACTAAATCCCTCACAACAGGAGTATAACCCCTGCTGGAGGCCCAAAACAATCCTGTAGTCGGGAATTTTTAGACAACTCACACAGCCAATCAAAACCCCAATGTTTGCACAAATAAGATGCTAGTATGCTAGTAGTAATATGCATCGCTAAAACCACACCAACCATATAAGCTAGGCTAGGCAACTCCAGTGGTTAGCGAGCGATAGCTACCGGTAATTACTGGTGATGGACTCAACCCTGGGAGTAACATTATACTTCGAAGAATGTGCCCATCGGGGGTCAGGTTACAAGTTTCTTTGTAAAAGTATTGCGTGGATGGATTGCATGTGCCGTTGTCTTATCTAAGGAATTCCCCCACAGCAGGGGTGTTTTAGGTCGTCAACAGGGGTTATATCCCTTCTGTGGGGGAATTAGTCATCGACTAAGTGTCCACGGCGAAATGCGGCTGCACATTACGGTACCGTCTTCCGTATTACCAGTGAGACACCCATATACGTATCCGGATACGGTTACTGTATCCATTACTACTTCGAAGTACAGTAGTAATAGTCAAAATGTGGCTTCTTGAAGACATACGAATTCTAAATTAATTCAATGCCTACACAAACTTCAATATTCATAGAGTTTATTAAGTAGACTATATATGAAACTGTATATCAAGGATATCGTTTTAATCTCGGCCACATCAACGGCTGAGTTTCGCTTGACAGCGTGTCATATCAGATAAGGCCAACAACGGCTGATGTGGCCGAGTTTCGCTTGACTGTGAGTTCCATTTTCGAATATTTCAGTTGTTTTTTCGTTTCCAACAGTGAAACCTATTTCGAGGTATGGTGCACGTCACCAATAAACTACCAACTTTTCACAGTTTTCGTTTTCATTTCTGAAAATTTTAGCAAATAGAGACGTAGAATCGAGAGAACTTAGGTGAAGAAATTCTACGTCTCAGATTTATATTTAGTGAATGACTTGATCAAGAAAGAGACTTTTAACCTGCGGTATTTTGCATGGGCCATTTGAATTTGGCCACAGGAATGGCCACTGAAATTTTGTGAAAAGTTGGTACTACGTACATTGGTTTATAGGTGACGTGCACCATAAGAGCATCTGCACCGGCACCAGTAAATTTCACCCCATTATCCGGATAACTTGTTCGGATACGCGAGTTACTGGCGCCATTAAGTCCAAATTTTACTGGCCTCGTTTTGGTTTCGCACCGCAGTCAGTAAAACAACTTGCACTTACTTCGTGGTGGATCGACTTACCTGTGCATGCAGAGACCATCACCTGTTCTATAGTATTGGAGCACTTAGCCGTTGTACAGGCGCAGCCGTGTCGTCTCGTGGATGACCTCGCGGCGGATCCAAAGGTACCACATGTTGTGGAAAGCGACGCGGACCAGACCTTTGCGGTGGATACGACGGCGGAGTCACCAAGGAGCTTGGAATACCAAAGCCACCAATCAATCGAGTCACAGATGAATGGAACAAAGCCACGCAATCGATCGAGTTCACAGATGATTATGATTGGCCAGTTGACTTACTGGAGTCCAGTACTCCAACAAAAATTCCAACAAATTTACTGGAATATTTGTTGGAGTAGTGGAGTCCAGTAACTCTTTTACTGGCTATTGGTACCGGTGCGAACGTTTTTTTTGGAATTCCAGTAAATCGGCCAATAAAATTATTGGGATCTGAGAACTGCTGGTACCGGTGCAGATGCTCTAACTGTACTGTAGTACAGGTAACTGCACTGGAATTGGATGACAGTGGTACAACAACCACATACAAATTTTCATATAAAATGGACGTGAGTCAAAACGTGGGTGTTATAAAAATTTCGACAGATTTATTAAAATACAATACAGTACACAATTAACAGTCTCGGATTGGCCAAATTGTAACCAATTGACATTGCTAAAAACCACGTCGCATACAACAGCACACAAACACCAACAAATACCTACATTACTTCCTGTTAGTTACAACTGAACTACATTTGGCAAGACTTTTTCAAACGCACTCACAATGATTGAGCATACCCCAAACATTGATGACCCGCTAAGTTTCAAACGCTTTGCTGCTGCTGTGTGAACCCTTTCTTCACACAGCCATTCTTTACGACACATAGACTTGAATGGCAAACTCTCAAAGCGTCGGAGATACATGCGAATGCTGCGGATGGTGCAGCGTCGGTAGAACCGTTTGGCCACACGTTTTGGTTGCATCATGAGAAAGTTTGAACGCGAATGTCATGTGATACTCATCAGCCAATCATTGCTTGCTATAATTGAGTTTTGAATCATGCGTGCCAGGTGGTGTCGTCGATTAATTGAGTTTGGATTATCATTTTTAAGACATTCCTCCGCGAGGGCCGACACTAGAACCACATGTTATGGAACCGCTCCTCGTGTCGTCGAATACTGGTATGACGAATGGCACTTCGCTATTTTGTTGATCACTTATTGGCTAAAATGCAATTGACTGAATCCCTTTGATATTTTTTTGGCCAAGTATAAAAATATGCAAGTACCACTGTGATCCAATTCCAATGCGGTTACACTGTACCTACCTAGTATCTGTTCCGGTGCATTTTCATTTTAAGTAAGACTGACGTTCGAAATGGAACAATCAGGGGTAACGTTAGCATTGTCCTGTTGGAACACAACATACTTGTTTGTACTTGGAAACTTGGCGGTGAGAGCATCTCCACCGTACACGGAATTTGACCCTGAAACTGAATATTACTCAGTGTCGATGATATTTTGACCCTGAATTTACCCCCACCCCAACACTGAGTTCGACACTGAAACTGAGAACCCAGGGCCTGAATCTTGACCATTCCACACGGAGTTTTCACTAAAAACTCCGAGTCGAGGTTTTGCGCCGAATTAATCTAATAACAAGAAATTTGTATGGTATACAAACTAGTCAACACGAAATACTTTTCGATTGCTGGACGACGATGTCGTTATCGATGAACGCCATGGAGACCGAGTTACAGTACTCTCCAAGACATGGGTAGCAGTGTCTGAGGATCGAATCAAGGGTAGTAACTGTGACGCGATAGCCCTTGTAATGCGCTTCATTGAGTCGATGGCTGTCGATTCACCAAGGCGACGATGGTGCATCGAGTAAGCGCAGACACAATAGGCCAGCATACGCATCGACGCAGTGCACTCCTGTAATGGCGACATACCTATATTATTTTTTAAGCTCGTTGGTTTACCGTTCTCTCCAAATTAGTCGTCGACAATCTGCTGGTGCCCACCAGCCCGGTTACGATCCAAGTTTGGTTGGCGACCGCGACGAGACCCGCTCCATGATCGTGAGTGCTCAACTGCGGCTTGGCGGACGGCTTCTTGGACTGCCGTACTTATGATGACGTCGATTTCCTCGTCGGACGAATGCATCCTTTGATTCCACGACTGCATGAGTCGGCTACAGTATTCGAGCGCATTGGGTGGACTTCGAAATTACCATGCATATCTTATCTATTTCTACTGTACTAGTATTAATTTTGCAGAATTGCGGTTCAAAGGTCAGTGTCACGATGCGAACGAATATCCTTCACACTCAAATTTATTGAATTCAGTGCAGACTATGACACTGAAAAGGACTCAGATCCAGGGTCAAAATCCGTGTTCCGGTGGAGATGCTCTGATCGCGGGTACTACCTTGTTGATGACAAAGTCCTTGGTACACTTCACCATTGACGTGGACAAGCGAAATTACCATTGTGGCAGCATGACAGTTTCGAGAAGCAGGTGAGGACTGGACAACCGGTCACGTGCCAAACTTTCATGAGCCAGACTTTCATTGAAATTGAAATTACGCGGTATTTTCAAGCTCGCTATCGCCCGAGCGCGCGCGACTAATCTAGCGGATGGAGCTTGTGCACGTTCACACCGGGGTGGTTCGTGCAGCGGCTTCAGTCTGTCGGGCCATCGTTAGTGTGCGGTGTGCATTGGGACTTGTCAAAGCCTACGGGTTCGCTGTTCTGGTTTCGTCAGGTTAGCCTCAGCGGGCTACTGACGCCTAATGCGGTAGATAGGTTTGCATGGAGGCCGTCGCGGCCCTACAAGATGTATAGGACGGAGCTTGTTGTGGGCGCTGACAGCGGTAATGTCATCGAGCTGGAGTAGGCCACTCGGTGTTGGGGAACGGCTCGTGCTGAGCGGGTGGTGGTTGCAGTGAGCTGTCAGTGGCTTAAGCGTAAGGCCGACGACATGGTTATAAATAGCGAGCTTCTAAGCCATGCCATGCCCTCGGTCGATATTCGGGATAGCGTGTATGGAATATGGAACTGGCACGCGTGCACCGGGCAAGTCCAAGATGGTGGGACACAGCGGTTTGCTGTAATCCGTTTTGACATCCGTCGATATCGGCGACGGTTTCGGCGATGTCATGTTCGGCCGGGGTGTCCATGCCGTGTCGTTGGGTGATGAGTTTTGGAAACAGGTGGGGTTTGGGCTGGATGGCAGCATGCGGTGTCATGGCGGTGTTGTTGAGGGCGGTGAATCGGTTGTACGGTGGGTCGGTCAAGTGCGAGATGGTGGGACACAGCGGTTTGCTGTAATCCGTCTTGACATCCGTCGGTGTCGGCGACGGTTTCGGCGGTGTCATGTTCGGCCGGGGTGTCCATGCCGTGTCGTTCGGTGGCGGCAGCCAGTGACGGGTTGGGAACAGGTGGGGTTTGGGCTGGATGGCAGCATGCGGCGTCGTATCGGTGGTGTTGAAGCCGGTGAATCGGTTGTACGGTGGGTCGGTCAAGTGCGCTGCGGGCGGACACAGTGGTTTGCTGTAGTCCGTGTGGACATCCGTCGGTGTCGGCGACGGTTTCGGCGGTGTCATGTTCGGCCGGGGTGTCCATGCCGTGTCGTTCGGTGGCGGCAGCCAGTGACGGGTTGGGAACAGGTGGGGTTTGGGCTGGATGGCAGCATGCGGCGTCGTATCGGTGGTGTTGAAGCCGGTGAATCGGTTGTACGGTGGGTCGGTCAAGTGCGCTGCGGGCGGACACATTGGTTTGCTGTAGTCCGTGTGGACATCCGTCGGTGTCGGCGACGGTTTCGGCGGTGTCATGTTCGGCCGGGATGTCCATGCCGTGTCGTTGGGTGACGGCAGCCAGTGACGGATTGGGAACAGGTGGGGTTTGGGCTGGATGGCAGTATGCGCCGTCATGTCGGCGGTATTCCGGTTCGTGAACCGGTTGTGCCGTGCTACCAGTGGGTTTGGCTTGGGTGCTGTGGTCGGACACATCGGTATGCTTTTGTTTGC